GAAACCCACTGAGGTTGAGGGGCAGCAGCAGAAGTCGTCGTCGTTTGCTTAAGTTTAATTTGTGAAATGGAAAGTTGGTCAAATGTAAATCACACCCCATAAAATATCCATAAATAGTTTAAATTAAATGATCCATCTAATGTTCGGCCAATCAAGGTATCTATCCATCCAGCTCCAGCTGCAGCTTCAGCTCCAGCTCCAGGGCATAGGAGAGTAGGAGAGTAGAGAGCAGAGGAGCAACGCATTAAAGCGATCATAAAAGTTGCATGATCTCTGCTTGTTGGGGGAGGTGGGGCAGAAGGCAGAAGGCACGAGGCACGCTCTTACGCTATTACGATTTTACGAGCACATCAGCCAATCAGGGGAATGATGAACACGCAGCACACGAAAATATATACCCGCCGGTTAGGTGATCGTTTCCATATAGCCCCACACACACACACGCACTTCGGAAACCCAAACAGATCTCGGAGAGGTTGGTAAATTTGGTCACAACAATGCACACAAGATAATAATAGTAATTAAAGAAATACACACACAATTTCAGACACCGCATGGGATCGCATAAGATCGTATACTGGACGATCGATAGTTTCGCGAGTAGAGGAGATCCAAGTTATAGGAATGTCAGTGTCTGGCGATGATCTTTTTCCCAAATGATCAGCCAAATCAGAGATATCACTCGAGATTAGAGAAAAATGGGTAATAGAATGGGTATTCCGTGCAACCTGAAAAGGAGAACAGAGCCGAACCGACACTTGACACACTCAAGCGGGGAGATTGCAAAATCCCCGAGAATAGAATCGGAGTGGATTCTCAAGTGCAGTGGTCTCTGGTCTCAGTGGTCTCAGTGGTCTCAGTGGTCTCAGTGGTCTCAGTGGTCTCTGTGTCTGCGCGTGTGTCTGGGTCTGTGTCTGACGCATGGTAATCAGGTTATCAGACAACAAATTAGACAAATGGAGAGAGGAGAGACATCTGACATTGACATAATGATTCTTGGCTTAAGTTTGCTCGAATGTTTTCTTGTCTTGGGTTTCGGCTTGTTCCGGCCAACAGTTTTACCAATTGAGCCACTTAATGAGCCACAAAGCGCAAAGCACACACTCGCGCCCACCCAGGCACAAACAAAAACTCAAAACTAAAGGCCAAGCCAAAGCTAAAGACAAAAATTCTTAATTGCCCGCTGCCAGCCATTGCGCAGTTTCATATTTTTGGCTATGCCAAAAACACACAAAACACATTGTGTAATGAGAGTACACGAGCACTAGTCCATGATGTAAGCTGCCCAATTTGTCTTCACCTTTGCGGCATATCAGGTTTTTGGTTCATCTGTGGGATGGTGGTGCGCCTGCGCAACCATTTGGCATTCGCAGATCCACTGATCATTGATCATTGATCATTGATCATTGATCACAGTCGGACACTCGATCGTTTGCTTGTCGCCATCAGTCATCATTCCGTCGAGCATCCGAAGCGATCTCTTCGTGGAACACACAACATCAACAGAAACCAAAAACCAAAAACCAAAAACCAAAAACCAACCAGAAACACACAAATACAAATACAAATACAAATACAAAAATAAAAACAAAAACACACACCGAAAATCCCTTGATGACTAAATGCCATTAAATGTAATGAAATTTAAGTACGCGCCGCTTGTACCCCTGACCCACTAAGCAGTACACAAACAAATACATACTCTGTAGATATTCACACAGACGTTTGAGTGTTTGTGTGTCGCCGTATCTCATAAATACATTTTTGATTAGGGCCATCAGACTATCGGCCCGCATCCGAGTTGATTTCGTTAATAGGCGGCAATCGTCGAGAGCATTTAATCTTCTTCTGCCAATCCGCACCCGCCAACTCCTCTCCACGTCCAACTCCACTCCACTGGTAAATAGTAAATAATGGGCCCGGCCTGTAAATCGTCGCGTTAATTCGATAATAATGCTCGTGGCTGGGCAAAAAGAATAACCATCATATTAGCAATGAGTTCACGCCTGCTTTGCGATAGGAAAATATCAGCCGCAAAGCTACATATGCCAAATCTGAGATCCGATCGGATGGGATCGGACCGGATCTATTAAATTTTGGATCAGAACTGTGGATATTCCAGAGATGAATTGTTCTTAATGGCAGAAAGATGTCTTATCCCTGATTTTCCATTCGTTTCATTAACGTAACGACTGTGTGCCTTCACTTGTGGGGAATTTGTACAGCGAAACGTGCTGCTAGTGCAAAGGTTAGGCAATGATCGCTGATCTCCTGATCATCTACTCAGATACATACATATGTGTACAACTCGAAGATCAGTCGGTTCAAGGATTGGGCGGATCAGTAAAATGATCTGGGAGATTCTCGCTGTGTACACTTGGTATGTACCAAGAGTCTTGGTATTTTCTGGATCAAGAAAAAGAGGAAATAGCTTTACGCAGGATATCACTCAAAAGATTTGAGACAGCTACTATAGCCGTAAGGAAGGAGTACAAATATTCATCATCAGAGCCCCGACCAAGCCGACCATCATAGGATCTTTAAAGTCTTCGCTTTCATTGCTTGAGGAATCTGTGGACAAATCCCTGTCTCGTGGACCACTACGAGTATATTAAATCGCATGGCACACGACGCTCGGTTGAAGCGGTTGGGGCTTCACATGCGGCTGTAGCACCAAGTGAAACTTTAGCATTTCATTGTCATCAGGGATAAACATCCTTAGCGTCGGCAAACAACTTCAATGGTTTCACTTCTCCCACAACCCACATGCCGGCCAAACATGCAGTCGTCGACGGGAGTGGAGCCACATCATCCATCAAGCGCTGGCGAGGCAGCACGGCACATGCGTGGCCCGGAGTTCGGGTTCAGCAATTAATAAACAAATAAAAGGGCAACTTCATTTGGGGTTCATGACCACAAAGCTTCAACATATCAGCTGTCCAGCCAGCAAATTTCGTACGAAAAAAAAAAAAATACACAAAAGAAATAGATGGAGATGAGACCAGCTTGGATCTTTTCCTGTGTGAAATAATTTGAAATGTGTGCGGGGGCTGCGACAAGCACGAGACAAACGACTATCGAATCCTAAGAATATTGAGTAGAGTAATAATATTCCGCTTAACAGGACCATAAAATAAAGAATAACGACTATTTGCTAATAATATTCAGTGATTATATATTCCAGAACGATGGTTCTGCATTTGATCTGTACAACACATGTATCAAATATCTTCCAGAAGATAAAACATATCATTAGATTCCACCTAAGAGGTTGGTTTATTAGATTTTTTGTGAAAGTGCATGTGTGTAACGTCCAGAAGGATGCGTTTCCGACCCCATAAAGTATATATATTCTTTGTCAGAATCAATAGCCGAGTCGATTGAGCCATGTCTGTCTGTCCGTCCCTATGCGCGTCTAGTGCTCAGAGACTATAAGACCTAAAACAACGACATTTTCTCTCCAGACTCCAGACACCACCCCCTTTGCCCCCACAAAAGATGAGAATCTGTTGCATCTACAATTTTGAAGAACACTAATAACGCACTATCATAAAGAATGACCATATCTACCAGATTGTCGAATCTGGATCAGATCGAATCATTATTATAACCAAAAGGAACAAATCAATCTGCGGCTCTGACTGATTTTCTGTCTCTCTCGTACGCCCTCTTTGTCGTTCAATGTTAGCGCCGTGTGGCGGAGGAGAGCCATACTGACTAAGTGTCGGGTATAAATTTAGAGCTGCGGCCGTAGCAGCAACTCACAACGTTCCCCCTCGTCTCTTGTCTTATTATGAAATATTATGTTCGTTCTAAGAACTGTGATAGTCCTACAGGCATCCATCAGTCTCTGTTTATCATAGTTCTTCCAGCCGATACTGTTCGACACTATCCGACCCGACACTATTTGATCAACTGTCAACTTATCAGAGATCGATTCTTACTCTCCCTGTTCGTTTTCGTGACCCTTTGGCGACCACCAAACACACACTCTTCCCGCTCTCTCGATATAAATAGATAAACTGTCCGAATGGAAGTAGTCGTGGATACATGTGGGGGTGGCACTTCACTGTGCGTCACTTCTGTTACCCATTTCGGGCGGAGCAACTGGGAGCCATTCGATCGTGCAGTGGATAATCATAAATTATATTGAAATGTACTCGTACTGAGAGAAGACAGGTGTCTCTGGCTAAGACAAATCCACTTCCCGGCCTCCGCACCCGCACAGTGGGTGAAATGGTCAATGTAGCTGTGCTCCGGACCCTTCTAACCATTTATCGATCGATCAATTGATCGATTGTCCCCTTATGGCGATCAGTGAATTAATTTTGCGCCACGTTTTTCCCAACTTATCGGTTCGACAAACGTTTGCTGTGGGCTCTGCTCGCTACTGCATGCAAATTGAGGCGATAAACATAACTCTCGTTAAGTGAAACCTAAAATGCAGTCCGTCATCTGCGAATGTGAGTCACGCATTTCTTTTTCTTTTGGCGCTCTGCCCATTTATAGCCACTCGAACGAACTGGCATTTCAGTCGCATATTATGATTCCCTGACCTACGACATAATCCCCCAAAAATATTTGGTTTATAGTAGAAAGAGGCGTCGTCGCGTCGCCGTCATCTAGGTCTAGTATGACGGAACCACTTGTATTTTTATCACGGCCAAGATACGAGCACGATGCCACAAAACGGCATGATTCATGCCACGACAGCGAAACGCTTTCCCAGAACCAAAGTGATTAGTGCGGTTGGCGCTTTTCTTTCTAGATCGCGGCAGATCTTCTTGTGGTGTTCAGGAAGGAATGGTTGGAGGATTCGTGTTCTATAGAATAAGACATTTAAAAGATGGACTGGACGAAGGGTCCTCCTTGTTCAGTAAGTTTTGGGGAAAAAAAATCGAAAGAAAGCATGCCAATATTTACTTCATAGGACGAAGAAAGAATATTGGGGTCGAGAATTAGAGATAATAGTAACCCCACCAATAATTCTATAAACTTACCGATATCATGTATTGGTTTCTCTCGAATATCTTCGTTTTCCGGTTTCCTTTTCTTCTCTGATGATTTTCCCCAGCTGAAAGGAAATTGAGAATGAAACACGACATGTACATAGATGATGGATAGATCTTTGATGGTCGGAAACATGGTACTATGGTACTATGGTACTATGGTACTATGGTAATATATGACTCTATAATGCAATGTGACGGCGCGGCCGTGTGGCGAGTATGTGACATCATCAGAAACGTAAGTAGGAAAACGGTAAATGGAGTTTTATTTGCTTTTTTGTCATAGAAACGTGAGTGAGCGACACACACGCACCGCACTGTACCCCTCCATGCCGAATGGTGGAGAGAATGGTGAAGAAAATGGTAGAGAGGTAGGTGGTGGTCTAAACAAATAAGTCAATAAATAAAGGCGTTAACTTGGCTCGAATGGCCTACGTAAATATGCGATGAAATGAGCGAAAAGAAACAACTAAAACCCGCCCGAGAGGCCCGCCGCCAAAGGTGGGCTCTACAGACGGACCAGACCGACCAGACGGACCACACTTGGTCCCAGTTTCAGTCTCCCATTCAAATTCAGATTCCTATTCCCATTCAGATTCAGATTCGGTGTAGGTTTTTTCGCAATCTCACATATATCTGTATGTAGAAGTAGAAATAGACATCGACGTAGAGAGCGGTAGACAGAGAGTGGCATCGGTGGGTACAGAAGTTGGCAATAAGCTAAAAGCTGACAAATGTCTGACAAGCGGAAGTGTAAAAGAGAATAACAAAATAATAATAATCAAACACGAAATTTTGCCCCAATAGGAAAACAAAACACATCACACAAAACAGAATGAAACTCCTCCGAAAGACCTCACCGATGGGTGTGCCGTGCCCGTGTCCCTCCTTTGAAGATACAAGACGCTATTAAGTTGGTGTAAACGGTGTCTCCAGGAGTGACTCAAATAGGCGCAAATAACCGCCTTCCAGGGGTCGGACAGTCGGACAGGACAAACAAAACAGTAAATTGACGAAACCGTCTGCGTTGGTGGCTCGCTCGATGATTTTCCCACGAAAGAACCCACGGTTCTTAAGAACTTTCCAAGATGCTGCTGCAAACCTCAGGTACTTGGGAATTGGGCAAGGTCAATGCAACAAACGAGAATGCCACATTGCACTCATTGCGCTGACCTCCCTCCCCTCGCAGCAAGGGGGAGGACGCAAGGAGTGCGTGACGAATGCCCGCGCATGCGGTCATCAAGGTCAGACCTCTCTCTGCCACGAAACAGCTGACGTGACTGGCAAAAACACATCAAAAGTGGTGCTCGTTGTTGGGTGGCAGGGAGGCTATACTCGGGATCTGACTCATGGGAATTCTCCCTAAAAGGCCTCCAAATAGAATCGCCAACAAAAGAAATCTCATTTTCGTATGGCAGGAGCCCTTTTATAGAGTGCTATTCATCCCAAGATGACATGACCAAAAGTCTTTAAGAAAGAAAATTTATTAGGCACCTGACAAATGTATTTGAAGGCTCAGCAGTGTTGCATTCTATAGTTGGGGACTCTGTATACTGAATCTCATTTTAAGGCTACCTCTATATTTTTTGAGAGTGATCCTAGTGTTCGCTAGTACCATTATATAGTTAGGAAGTTATATTTCTATAGTTTCCCTGCAAGCCCCGTTGTTATCTTGTCTCTTTCCGCAGAAACCGGAGTATCGTTCTTTGTTCATAGATTGGCTTCCTTATTGATACGGTTGTAAACTTCTACATGCATGTATCATCATGCTTCTCTCATTATCGTGCCTGTAAATGCAAGACATACATCTGTAATCTACTATATACATATGATAAATACTATATACATATTTAAAGCCTCTTCATTTGTGATTTGTCATTTATCCGTTCGTCTGGTTGTAAGGGGAAACTTCCAATAAACTTCAGCACGAGTAGTTTTTGCCAGGGTTCTTAGTTAATTGGAGATTGGTGAGGCTGTTATCAGGGTTCTGATGTATGTGGAATTATAATTAAGTGCGCAACATGTTCGGGCGAAGGAAATACAACAAAGAAAGTATATTTGTACCGACCAATAACATAACATGGAAGAGCATTATATGGGGCTATCCGTATATGTTTTGGAGACTAAGGACAGTCGGAGTTTTTGTAGCCAACTAGCCATCTTTTGGCGCTTGTCCAGTAGTCCAGATAGTAGCGCACAGCTACCGTCTCTCTTTACTGAGTTTATGTACATAGTTGGAGCTGGTTCATTCTCTCTCACTCATTAAGCCCTCTTCTGGGGTATACGGTATAGAAACCTTCTCCTTTGGGACACGCCACACACGAAAACTATGGCCTGTTCTGCAAATTCCGACAAAGAGGACACACGGGATACATATATGTAGATATACACATATGTATGAGTAGTTATACGTAGGTACCAATGTACCTACATATGTACATATGTAGACATCGACAGAAAGGTAAAAAGATAGTTTTCTTTTCCAATAAATAACAGCAACTCTGGAAAATAATAATACAAATATGTATTTGAATTTTTTTTTTTGAATGAGCTCTCTCTCGCTGTCTCTTTCCCTATCTCTCACATTTCCATCAAGGAAAATCGCATTTCTGGCATTTGATTTCTTTTGTGTTCCCGTTAGCTTTGATTCGATTTAGATTTTTGAATGCGGCTGTGTTTTGGCTGAGCGACACGCAAATCGATGGTTGCCACCCTCCATACGCACACACCATGCACACACACACACACACACACACACACACACACACATACAGAGAAGAAAAAAAACTGCACTAATATTTGTATGGTTTATTCTGCGCTTACTTTTCTGCACGCGACCCGAGCAGCGACAGAGGTGGCTGCGGTGGCAGCCGTAGAAACAGCGAGTGCGACACTGACAGCGTCGGCAGTGGCTCCGTAATTCGGACACCAGACAGGGAACCAGCACGTTATTAAAACGGTATATGTATGTGCAAAAAAAACTGTAGAAAACTTGAGCTGGAGGAGTAGTTGCAGCGCAGTCAGAGTCTGTTATTGCCCATTCACACCACAGCACAAGAAAAAAAACACATGGCAGAAAAGTAAAATAAAAACAAAAACCGAAAACCGTAGAAGAACCAAAAGCCGACACTGAAAGGTAAAAGGAATCCGCCGTGGAAGTGGAAATGCGCCCAGGACGTGGACCGCGCGAAACGAAGTACCGCAATACTGCGACTCCGAGAATCCGCTACACGGCAGCACGAGGAGACCATATGACTGACGGCGACATCTCAGCCACGCCGAACAGAGGGTTGCTGCTGCTGTTGCTGCTGCTGTTGCTGCTTTTGGTCTGCAAATGTTCTTCTTTTCAGCTTCCGCGCAAGTCCTGGGCCCAACTATTGGCAGAGAGGCCGCAACAGGAGCTGCAGAGAGCACTCTCGGAATAGTTGGGGCCCAAAGTGTGGGCACAAAGTGGAGCTCCTGGGATGTGCGACCAAGTAAATTTGAAGAATTTCTCACTGTTCTCAGCGGATCGAAAGGAGTGCCTACTTCCAAATGAAACTAAGCCTCACTAACTAAGTGATCAAACTAATTCGTTGGTCTGAAAATGAATGTGAAAAACTAACTATGTAACTGTGGATTTAACTTTCAGATTCAACTGAAGAAAAAGGTAATACTACATCAGCAGTTGACTGGACAAATATATGTACATACATATGGACAGAGAAGGTAATTATAATAATTCCCATATGGAACATGAATATTTAGATTCCCAAAGTTCGACAGCGAAATAGAAGGAGTGTATGGCAAAGGCAATGGCGAACACAAAGTGATAGAAAATGAACTCTTTAAACCAAACATACATACATATGTACATATGTACATATGTACATATGAATCACAAAGCATAACTTTAGATCACGAAAAGTGAGACCTCTAGTGGGTGTAATTCTTTGTTGGCGTTCTAAAGTATCTACCTACGAGTACCTATGTACATATATATATGTATGTATGTATGTACATATTTATTATTTTCCTTATTTTCTTTCCTGACCTACTCTTTGGCGGACCGTGTGAATCGAATCCCTAACAGGCAGTATAAGATTATCACCAAATGTTGACACTTTATTCAGTGGGTTCACTGCGACAACCACTGTTCATTGATTTTGAGACTCTTCCTCAATATTATTGTTATTCATAAACCCGCTCTGCTGTAGAGAAGGGCTTGGAAGGTGTTTTGAACAGAAAGCGCCTGCGCCCTGCGAAGCATATGGAAGTAGCGGGACTGTGGGACCCAGCTCTTTCCTCCAGATGTTTGTGCGTACACATGCATATGACTGTATGTGTATGCATTTATCAGTGAATTCGTTCCACTGTGGGAGAGTGCAGCGGAAGGTCTCTCTTATTATCAGTTTCACGCATTAACTTTGTTTCAAATCAAATTTCAACGAAACTGCAATGGAGGTCTTGCTCTCATGTGGCGGCTCGCACTCGCTCACCAGATTCCTCTCTGCGCTCTCTTTGAGAGCGTCCAACAGGCCTAAACAGCTGTAATTTGTTTATTGACACACAAATGCAAACACACATAGCCACAGACATCCGTACATGCATATGCGTATTCATGTATGTACACATGTATGTATGTATGCATACACATGTATGTATGTTGGATGCTGTCCTGTTTTATGGATTATTGCTTTCAATTAACAAACAAAAATCTTGAGGGGCGAGCGATAAGCGAATGAGCGGGAGTAGTAAATTTATGGCATGCAGCAGATTTTAATTTATTCATCATTCAATTTCCTGGAACCCCCGTCGCACGAGTCACCCCACAACACAGCCCAAATAAGCAGAGCCCAAAAACAATGTAGACTCTACATACAACCTCTACCACACCATTCTTGTTGACATGACGAATCTGCGTATCCGCCAAGTTCTACGAAATTCACACACGAACTCGTTAGGGAAATTGAAACGAAAGTAAAGAACCAAAAAAGGGATGGGTGTCTCTGAACGCCGAAGCTTTTGATACCCTTGGGCAACGATCATTTTTATGGAATCTACATATGTACATACATACATATATGATATTGTATGTACATACATATTTAGTACATAAAAACCTATATATGTACATATGTACTTGATGATGTCGGAAACACTTCCATTTCTGAGTTAAAAGCAGCTATACGGAAAAATCAGCATACTCCAGCAAGAGTACATACATATGTATGTATATTAGAGCAAGCAAGCCAATCATCAAGTGCTTGTATGCAGATAGAGCCTTTCTGTTATGGCTGATAAAAGCATTATTTGCATATTGCTTCGCTTGCAGTCGATTGAGGCACAGTCCCGACACCACAACAAACCCTACTGCGTCCAGATTGTGCCCTGTAATCTCTGGAGTATTCTTATGCGTGTGCCCCAAGCAACCGATGCTGAGCGTAGCTTTTCTGCTCTCTTCTGATATATTTCTTATCGACCAAAAAAAGGCCAACTAATCGCAATATACTCGTAGTTTTCGTTGCAATCACATCAAATATGTGAGTCGCTCTGGTTCTCCATTCGCTTTCGTTGCGTTGAAAATGCGGAATAGTAACTGATAGTAGTTAGTAGTAACTAAACGTAGCTGATAAGGCATAACATCGGACAGTTCTATTGTTCTTTTGATTGCATGATATGGAATACGATTTTGGTCCACTTTATCACAACACTGACAAAATGTATTGAAATGAAGCTTTTTAAGAGTTTTTAGTTGTTAAATCATTACCTCTTCTTCACTAAGACTTTATTGGTAATCGTACATGGTATATGGAAGTCAGTATTTTACTGATGAAGCGGGTTAAGTATAGTCGCAAGCCTATGGGGAAAGTATAAAACCATACATGTACAAACTTCGATAAGGATAAAGTGAACCGTTAGACTGATGCCATTAGGAGCGGAAATGAATTATACTGTAATAAATTATTGTAATATAAAAGTATAAAGTTTTTCAAGAACTGAACCAACCTTTAATACTATCTATCCGAACTCTGGAACTGAGTGAACTTTCACACGATCAAGAACTACAAAAACACTGCTGTCAAAACCGAATAAAATTAAGTCATATTAATTTACATCAATAGTGTACCGTATATTGTTTTAATATGCACAAGAATCGTGGGGATTTCGATTTTAGAATTCATATTTCGGGCTCATATTCATTCAGAAAGCATTGTGCGCCTACGACTGTGTAGATTTTAACTCGATTTTTCAACTAGATCGGATATAACTGCTTTGAAATTATTTCGTTTGCACGGTGGCAGGTATTTTTGCCAAAAAAAAAACTCAAACAAAATTAACACAAAAAATGCCGTTGGCAAGTCGGGCGCATAGCGGAAACGGCATGCAGAGGTGAACGACGTTGATAAACAACTGACTTTTGGCGCGATGATTTAGTAAATATAAATTGATTATCACTATATCGATACATCAATATATCGATATATATTTGGTGATATTTTTTCTAATCATCAGCGGAACTACTTTTCTGAGTTCAGGGAAAATCGACATTATTTTTGTGTTTTATAATATCGTTAGAGATCATACTAGATCATACATCACCACTAGCCATATATTATATAGTTATGGCAGTTCATACAATGAAAACGTCCCACCAGAATTTGCTGCGGGATCTCCCAGAACTTCCTCAAGACTTTTTCATTATTTATGACAAAACTCGTTAACAGCAGACAATGAAAAGAATATGCTTTGCTCTACTATTGTATTATCATTTGCTTGTGGATGATTCTCATCAAAGCGGACGACTCCACCATGGAGAAATTACTTAAAGGTGGTGTCCTCCGCTGTCGTAAGGTGTCCATATATTAATAAAATATGGATAATTTCATCATGGTGAGGACTATCCACTTTTTCAACACGTTCTCTCGGCCTTCTCGGAGAAAGAGAAAGTTTTACACTCTGCACTCTTCGTTTGTTATTGTTTATTTTCGCTAATAAATAAAACAAAATAAGTCAAAACACATTATAATAGCATATTGTCGTATAGCAAAGCGTACTCTCTTAATATCATTTTTTGTTTACGAGTCTAAGAAGAAAACAATGAAACAAATCGTTCGCGACGACTGACAAATAGAGGTCCTCCAAAGAGAGAAGATTTGGTGAAGACACCACCTAATAAGTAATTTCACCATTTGCAAGTGTGATAAAGTGATCTTTCGCAGCTGGAACTAGTTCGAAGTGACACGAGCGAAGTGACAGGCGCGCAAAACGAAGCGCAAATTCAAAACACTGGTAATTACAATGAAACAATTTCTTAAATCTTAATTAATATTACAGCTCAAAAATAAATGATTAACATCGGGAAATAAATGCTTAATTAGTTGTTTAGGATGTGGGTGAGGTGTTTGATCACTCGTTGTTGAGCATCTCTATATCGGCATCTTGCCAAAGGGGCTCCGACATGACAGCCGCTTCGCTATTTCCGTGGGTTGCTCCAGACACGGAAGACATCTCCAGGGGTTCATCGCAGTTCACGCTCTGCCACTCCTGGTGGGGGGTGCCGCTAGGCGTGGGCGTGGCCATTCCATTGCTTCCATCTCCTCTGCCTGGCTCTGTGGCTGTGCCTTCTCCTTTGGCTCCTATAGAGCCTCCCATCTTAAGAGAGTTAATTCCATTTATGGCCCGCACGCAATTGGAGTCCACGCTAGAAGTGAAATCCATTACATATCAATCTAGATCGCTTTCCTTTTTCCTGCTTACCTCAGGGCCCTATAGTAGTAGTCCAGAGCCTTGATCGGCTCCTTTTCGATACGCAATATGTCGCCTAAGAGGGTGTAGAGATTCTGATTCGGATAGTTGATTACCTGCTTCTCCAGCAGTTTTATGGCCGCCTTGGTGGCGCCCTCATACTGGCAGATCTCGGCCATCAGGGCCACGGCCGGAGTGTAGCTGGAATCGATCTTCAGCGCTTTCTCCACAAACTTTCTGGCACTCCGTTTGGCCGCCGGATTGGTTGAGTGGAAGAGCGTTCGTCCAAACATCTGTAAATGAGTGAAGGGTACACACAATAAATGTGATTCAGATTCGATATGGATGGGATCCTGTTCCTCCTCCACTTACCGTGTAGCTGCGCGGTGAGGTGCGGAAGCTGCGTATAGCCCAGACGCACATGGTCTGCGCCTCCTTGAACCGCTTTTGGGCCACATAGCAATGGAACAGACCCTTGTAGACTTCAAAGCGATATGGGGCCAGTCCCTGTGCGTTGCGGAACGCTTCGATAGCCTCACGGTACCGCTGCAATGAAATGAAAAGATTGCCCCGCAGCAAATGGCCCTCGACGTGACGCGGATCCATATCGAGACAGCGCTCGACAAAAGTGAGACCCCGCTGGTACTTGGCGTCGCTGTACATCTTCTGGCCGTGGACGAACCAATGGGCCGGGCTGAACTCCCGATCGGAGCTCACCTGGGTGAAAAGCTTTTCCTGCTCTATGGCGCTCTGCTCGTTGAGCTCATACACAACAGCCAGTAGGCTGATAGCCTCCATATTGTAGGGATAGGCCATGACCGCTGTGCTTAGGAACTGCTCTGCCTGGATATTGTGGCCGTAGTAGTACAGGCACCGCCCGATCTCCACTAGCAGATGCTCGTTTCTGCGGAGCCTGGTGGAATCGTTTAGCTGCTGAAAGGTCTTGGCCGCTTCCAGATGCTTGCAGCCGTACATCTGGGCCAGCGCTTTGATCCAGGTGCTCAGCCACTCGATGTTCCGGGGAGCAGAGGCAGCTGAGGTAGGAACGAATATTGTCCATAGGAATGGAGTGGATTATAGGGATTGGATTGCAACAGTGCACTTACCATTCATTACCAGCGAATTGACCTCGATGCCATCGACGCCTAGCTCAAGCAGGGCCTCGATGGATTTCAGCGACATGGGGCACTCCTTGAGTACATCCTTGTAGGCCATAACGGCGTCGGCCTTGCCCTTACTTCCCGCTGAGGCGTGGTGGTGCAGCCGGCCCAGCAGCATGTTGATGCGCGGCGTGCGCATTTTTGCTGACAATGCCAGAAGAGTGCTAATAGCCTTACCTGGCTCCCCCACTTCTTTATAGCATACAGCCAGCCGGTAGCGCAGCTCCACGTCGGTGAACTGATTGTTCATAATCTCGATGGCCGTCAGGCAAGCGCTCTTATAGCGGAGCATGGTGCGGCGTGTGTGCAGCACAGACTCCAGCTGCTGGTAGGCCAAGCGAAAGTGACGCTCCTTGTAGTGGGCATTGGCCAAGTAGAGCATTACCTGGTATTCCATCTCCAGCGTAGCCACATTGCGATCGTTCTGCAGCAATGTGTTCAAAAGGCTTGCCTGAGGATTCACAAACAAATGAAAATGAAAAGAATAAATGATTTTTCAAGGATGAGGCTGCACTCGTCCTTACCGCTGGGATGACGGACTCGTAAAGCCTGTGATCGTAGAGCTTTTGCACATTGGCAAAGAGTGCGTTTTCCATAATCTCTCCTTGCCTTTCCTTACTGCGGGAAAATGCCGCCAAAATTCAGAGCTGGCTCAGCTGGTTCGGAACTGTTCGAAGGACTGGTTCTTTAAGCCGGGGGCGTGTGATTGAATATGGTTCTTTTACAGTCTTCGCTATGTTTGAATAATTAACATATATTAACAGCAAGTGCAATATGGAAAAATACAATTATTTGGTTGACTTTAATATGTTTATTTTTATATTGGCAATTCGAGACTTTCGGAAAGAACTACTGAAGCAAAAACGAAACCGAGTCACTCAGCACTCTGTATCGATAGGCAGTGTTGAAAAGGTACTCGGCAAGCAACTTATCGATAGAAAGGAAAGGACGGTTAATTCAATTTACCATATTTATATATTAGCCTAAATACGTATAAGATATTAAAAAACAACAGATTTGTGTATTTCAATCAACATGAACGCTATTTAGGAACTAACTGGTTGGAAAGGGGCACAATTTCCAAGGATTGCTGCTTGTCGCCCTTGTCGCTAATGAAATGCAAAATTTCAAACCCCACCTCTACCATAATCAGGATTATGATCATCCACTCGAGTCTGATGTGGTGGGCGTCATTGAGATTGTGAGAGACCAGCTCGGCTAGCTCCACGCAGTGGCTGATCTTCTCATTCATCACCTTGGTGCGGCGCGAAATGCTAAAGTATGAGCACACCTGCAGATAGAGTCCCTCAAGTTCTTCCCTGTCCCAGTAAAAGTCGGGAGCGTCCAGTAGATCCGACGACAGGTTGATCACGTGGCGCAAGGCGAACAGCTCGCCCGTCTTGCGCAGCATGGCCGCCCGGGATATGCGCAGCCGTCGGCCACGCTTAAGGTCCTCCGTCAAGTGCTCAATCGAGTCGATGTAGCGGTCCAGCGTCGCCTCCCACATGCCCAGCTTGATCGACTGGGCCATCGCATTGGAGAATGTGTACTTGTACAAGAAACTGTCTCTGTCGCCCGTCACGAAGAATTTGCCTTTCTGGAAAAAGGCGCGAGAGGTGGCGTTGAAGTCGCTGCTCTCCGCCACTAGGTCGCCTTCGACGTCAACGGCCGTTGACGGGATATAGGTGTAGGGCATCACTTCGCTCTCCCCGTGAACCAGGGCACTCACGTACGATTCTCGCTCGAAAGATCGCAGAAAATTCAGCACGTTGTTCATCTCGATGTCGCTGCAGTTCCAGAACACAACGGACCCCTCGCGAAAGAAGAATATCTCGCGCGGCTGCTGTCCTGTTGGGTACTTGGCCGCCACGAACAGCACGTTCTGCTCCACATCCAAGTTGTCCGTGGAAAAGAAACGCTTTGTCTCGTAAAGATTTTGCTCCTTGAGGGCCGCCTGCAGTGCCTCCAGATTGTACTCTTCAGCCGTGGTATAGCCGCGCGTGTTGAGGAATCCTAGGGCAGACAGCTCGTCAGTGGCCAGGCGCTTTTTGCGCATTATGCGCGTCCTAATGGGCGACAGTATCGACTCCAGTCGCTCTTCCACCAAAGGCATTGGCTTCACACTGGGAGCTTGACCCTGGATTGTGGCTGATTTGGACTTCTTTGTGGCAGCGTCTGTTTCCTCTGCAACTGCTGCTGCGGCAGGCGGTTTAGTGATTGTGGTCATCCACCGATGGCCTTGCCATTGCGTCTGAAAGTGACGTTGCGGCTGGCGAAGGCTCCTCAAGATCAGCTTCTCGAGTCGAAGGCGTGCAAAGTTCATTTTTCTCAAATCGACGTTGCTTGATGTGCGTTAAAGGCAACTAAATAGCCATTTCAGCAGCTTGCTGCATGGTTTTGTAATGCTACTATAACCAGCCGGCGATTGCCCGACTACTACTTCTTATGATTATCGCTATCGGCTCAGTGCTGTAAATGTACTCTCAGATGCTTGACAATTCAATTTCATTAATAATATTAAAAAAAAACCGATTTGACAAAAAAAAAAACAAACAAAAAATGTATGTAATAAATGATTCATCTTTTATTACAATTAGTACTAGTATTATGAACATTTCGTTGAAAATTATACAAATCGATAGACCGATAGACCCATCAGCTGTTTGTTGAACTCATGCAAAATAAATTAACGTGCTGCATTTTCCCCAGGAAAAAAACTGAAAACCCATAATGCAACTGACACTGATAAACTTCTTTAAGAAAACTGTGCCGGGCCACATATTCCGCGGGAAGCGCCGTCTGGTAAAGCCGGTTAGCAAGCAAGCCATGGACACGCTCACCCGGGAATACGAGCGACAGGAACACATTATGTTCCTGCTGCGGCATCCCTACCTGACACTGGTGAGTGAACAGCCTCCTATTCTCATTCACAACAACACACAATCTCACTCTCTTTTCATTTGAAACTCTGCAGGAGCAATCATCTGGGCATGCCAAGGAACTGCAGAAACGCGATAAGCTGGTTGCCAAGTGGACAGATGACCAGACGATGCGCAAAATGAAGCCGCATGTGACCATCGAAGAGCGTCTGAACCACCTGAAGGTCAAAGAGACCTGGGACTAGCTTAAAATCGACTTGTTTCAACCTCAAGATGCATTAAATTAATTATAAAGTAAATATAGATTATGTGTATGTGCAAATTATGTAATTACACTGGCTTCGGCGGCTTGCGCAACGAGGAGCTTATGTGTATGGTGGTACATTGTTCTGCTGACTGTGGCGACTGTTCCCTTTGTTCCTGGAGAAGTTTTTACATGATTTACAACTTTCATTTTCTTGGGAGGTTTATATTTTTAAATTCTTTCTGAAGTGCACCGAATCACAGGATATTTTAAGGCAGATATTATAAAGGAACAGAAGTGAAGCCTAGGTTATTTGGATCATCCCTATTGGGTTTACCTACAATTTTACTCCCAAAGCTGATGGCGATGTAACGCTTTCTCCAAAGCACGCCGGAACAGACATCTGCTCGTACATGCATATGTACATATGTAGAATACATTATGTTCCTGTCTTGTCTCTGTCTATTTCGTGCTTAGAGCTCTTGGTGTCATTTTTATTCGATAAATTGTAATTCAATGTATATATATATATATATATATATATATATATTTATGTGTATATTTCGTGTATATTATGTATATGAACTGTGTTATGTACATATGCAAGGCATGTAACATTTTTTTTAATTTCGCCGCTCTCAGATTCCTTTTCCTCGTCCACCCAGCAGCTCCCAAAATCCGACTATAAATTTATTGCAAGTGTGTTGTTGATATTTGTATTAGAGTTCGTCTCTTTGATTTACTTTAATGCACAATTTCAAGGATTTTCACTTTTAGAAAGCACTTTCATGTCTCAAATTGAAAAAATTAAAAAAAAAAAGATTTTACAAGCGCTTATAACGCTGTGGGAACTGTGGGGGAATGATCAGAGTTATTGGGATCCATGAACAGGAAGGGGTGTGGATGGCGTATTGGATGGGTGCTATGGAGGTCTGGGAATCTGTCTGTCAACAAGCGCTGATCTCTCCTCCACATCATAATTTTAGCAATAATACGAATAGAATTTATGTCTAACGTCGATATAGAATGGATATACATATGTATGCAGCTACGAGGCTTCATTTCATTCTTTCTACGCTTTTGTCTGGGTCTCCTTTTCCTATGCTTCGCTTCTCGTTTGATTATTTTTGTTGATTTGGTAAATGATGCGCATAACCTCGATAAAACATTTTGTAACAATTTTAAATTAACTTTAAAAAAATAGATGTATGCTTATTTTGTTGCTGTTGTTGCCGCTGCCGCTGTCAGTGATCTACTACTGTTGTATACAATTATATACGTAAACAGTTCCGCCTGCTCCTCCATTCCACTACAAGCTGAGTACGACTCCGATCCCGACTCCCAGCCCGATCCGATCCAGTGCGTGGCAATCCATCCACGCATATTTCTCAATCGGCGGCCAGAAGCGTAGCGCTAACCTTTTTCGCAGCCGCCGGAGACGTGACCCTGGCATCGTTAGTGGCTACGGCATCCTGATCCAGCTCATCTTCTGCGGCAGCCTGCGGCGCTGTTCCCGTACTTCCATCCGAACGGGGAAGCTGCAAGGGGAGTGGCGGCGGCGAGCTGGACAGCATGGCAATGGGCGAGGCACTTGTGGTGGCCGCTGCGGCGCCATCGCCCATCCCTCGTTCTGGCCCTGGCGCTGATGTCGCTGAAGCTGAAACCGCTACCGAAACTGAAATTGGATCAGATACAGCTGCCGGAGTAGGCGTTGACGTTGGCTCCCTTCGGAGCTCCCTTTCGGCCGGGCTCTCGTTCAACGGCGTCAACGGCGGTGAGTTGGGCAGTGGAGAGTCGAGCTGCTGCTGGCTAAACTCCTGGTTGGGGCTCTCCCTGGTGAAAAGACCCATTCTCGATTCGGTGCTGGCCACCCCGACACCCACACCAAGGCCACTGCCGGATCCGCCTATGGCCGCACCCTCGCCGCTGTCCGTACTGGTGCTGATGAGTGAGGGGGCGACTGTTGGTGCCGCCGGACCACTCACCAGATGTGGCGGCGCATGCAGCGGTACGTGCTGATGCTGCTGGTGTTGCTGCTGCTGATGTTGGGCGACGTGGTAGCGGGGAATGTCCGCCTTGCGCCACAGGGTGATCTCCTGCTGCTTAAAGTAGCGACGATCCTCAGTGTCCATCAGCACCAGGTTTAGAAAATACTTGACGGAGAACTTCTTGTTAATGTCGCGCATGGTAGGCGTGAGATTGTAGCCGGCGAGAAAGACCCGGATGGGTATGCTCTCACCCTTGACCGGCGCCCCATCCATGATTTCGTACTTGGCGATGGTTTCGTTTTCGTTGAACATGTTCGGGCCGGTCCCGGTAGACTCGCGTTTGATGATCGCTATCTCCATATGCTTGATCTTGATGCGAACGAGCAGGAAGTAGATCTTGCCGATGATTGTGTCTCGCAAGTGGTACTTGCTCTTGTTGTACTCGAACTCAATGTGTAGACAGTCCTCGATGCCCACCTCCATTTTTATGGGGTTGTTCATCTCCGGGTAGCTGGAAAGCGTGTGAACGGCGATGTCAACCTCACGGGTGATGTCGCTGATTCGACGCACGATGGTCGCCCGCAAGAAGTAGCGCAGCCTTACATTGGACCCGGCATACACCTCAAACTGCTTCTCCACGTTAGGAAAGTCGAACGGGTAGCTGTTATTTTGGATGAGATCACCGGGACGCGCCAGTGCCTTGGCCAGGCACTTGAACTCGTGATGGGTGCCCCGGTCGTAGAACAGCTCAATCTGTCCGATGAACTCGATCTTGATGCCCTGATGCTCCAGCTTGCTGCCTGGCTTCTTCAGCGTCACGTTAACCTAAATAATGCCGCGAGCGACAGAGCGGAAAACGACACAGAAATACAGATAGTGGAAAGAGCAACGAATTGAGTTAGTTAGTGAGTGAGTGAAGAAGCAATGCCGATAAAGGCAAGGCGCCTTTGCAGCGGCGTAAATGGAAGGGGCAACGCCTCCGCATTTGCACAACCGCCTATTCCCAATGCCTGCCTGTGCTCACGCTACCGCTCTCACCTTGCCGGACACTGTTTCGCCGTCGTAGAAGAGCAACATTTTCTCCACCTTGCCGTCCTCACCCTTGACCTCGGCAGTCTTGTGTTCGGCGCCATCGAAGACAATCTCTATCTCGGCTGACTGGCCAAAGCCCAGAAAATTCATAATTAATAAACGTAAATTGGCCTCCTCTTCTTGGGGTGCACGGTCGCAGCTCGGCTGGAATGTCGCTGTGGCTCCGTCCGTCCGGTTGCAGTGTAGTGCTTTGCTTGGCTCTCGCTGGTGCCCGTTTCGGTTGGAGTTTGGAGATGCACTTTCTGCTGCCGCACTTCTTCTGCCGACACGAATTTATTGGGCGTTTTTCGCCTGTTTTTCTTTTTTTTTGTGAAATGCGTGTGTGTGTGTGTGTGAATTGGAAAAAATTGCAATTTTTCTTTCACACAGGCTCCGCATAAACAGTTGCCACCTATTTTATATTTGAAAACCAGCGTTGCCATGTCGTGGCCGATAGTAGCTCAACTATCGATATTTTCAGCGAACAAATCAAACTATTGATATCGATGAGACACTAGCCTGCACTAGCGCCGATTTTAAATACCATACCATCCACAATGATCGATGTCCAACAATCGTCCTTATCTGAAGCAAATTACCTTCGCAGACTGCTGCGCTTTGTCCTTTCCACTGTCTGCTAGAGGGATTACACTGAATCCTGCATTTACGCTTTCAAACCAACTCTTCGTTCGGCTTAAGGAGTTCCAGCAGTTGCATAGCTCCTTGCTTATGCTGGTCCTGCTCCCCGATCTGCATGAGTGCCGCGGTCCATCATTTGGTCCTGGGTTTGCAGGCAGTGGCCTAAAGATTGATTGCACTTCACCTGCGTCTCTCCTAAAGGGACTGGCTTTTAGTGCCAAAAGTTATGATGAAGCAGGTTAGAGGCCTGTAGGCATATCTCCTCATCACTAGACAACCGGCCATTGCCATTGTCAATTTTGTTGCGTTTATATTGCATTTAATACTTTCATTTTGGAATTTCAAATTCGAACTTACATCAGGTAGATTGGGTTACAGTGGGTGCCGGTGTTTACGAGTAGCAAATGGGGTGGATATTAAAATATGTATATGAATCTACACTGACACTGGTGGGTACATGTTCGCTTTGATCAAGCAAGGCAAGAGTGATCTGATTGATCCTGGGCCCAGCCAATGGGCGGTAGTGTACAAAACTCAACAAATTAGGCGTAACTCCAGAACATACATATGTGTGTACGTATGTATGTAAAGACATACTGAATACATCAACGATTGCATAGAAAATATAAAGACAAATCTCTTGTAGCTTGCAGTTGCATGCCACAGGTACCGGCAGAGGCCAGCGGAGAACTCCAGAGAGCTTTTAGGCGCTGAGACCTGTTTCTATCTGCTTTACCTCTAGCGCACCAGAGGCAGCGGCTCCAGGAGCTTGGCCGTCCAGGCCTCACGGTTCTCGACATTCTCGATGTGGCCGCGACCCAGGCACTTGCCCTGCGATATCAGCTCAGAGAACTGAGCCACAATGGGATCGCGGCCAACTGACGCCACAGCCGTAACCGTATCGGCCTCGTTGACGAAGTAGGCCACGAACTTGAGATCCTCGAGACTGCCGTCGATGATGACCTCCTTGTAGGAGCCGTGGCCGGCGTAGCGGAAGCCTTTGCCAAATATCATGGTGAAGAAGAAAGGAACGGCCTCCAGCTTCTTCACGGAGCCGCACATGTTAATGGCAGCGATGCGTCCATGGTACTGTGCCAGCTGGTAATGGCCAATGTTAACGCGATCGTGGGCCAGCCCATGGATGTGAGCATTGGCAATGTCGCCACCCACATATACATCGGGAACATTCGACTCCAGGAAGTCGGTGACGTCCACAGAGCCATTTCTATTTATGCGCACGCCGGACTTGGCCAGAAACTGGGTGTTGAGCGTGGAGCCGGTGCCCAAGATGAGGAGATCGCACGGTATACGCGACTCGTCTGCCAGCTGCACCTCCACCACCTTGCCATCGTCATCGCCAATGATCTCGGTAATACCGCTCTCCATACGCATGGTAACTTTGTTATCCTCGAAAAGCTGGGCCACCCGCTGTCCTATCTGCTCTCCGAAGGCAGCCTTTAGCGGCACTTTGTCACGCCCCACCACGGTCACGCTAGCCACCTTCGAGACGAGCGCAGCGGCCGCCTCCAAGGCAATGAAGCTGGCACCTAGACATACAACGCGAGTCTCCTCGGTGACCGCTGCGATGATGCTCTTTGTGTCGTCCAGCTCACGGATGGTCTTCACGTTATTCAGATTAACGCCCGGAATAGGGGGCTTAAAGGAGGAGCAGCCAGTGGCAATGTAGATCTTATCGTACTTCACCACATAGCCATTTGTGCAGTGCAGCTCCTTCTGAGCCGTGTCCAGCTTGCTCGCTCCGACGCCGAGCCACACCTCGATGTCGTGCTGCTTGTAGAACTCCTCATCGCGGAACCTCAGCTGCTCGATGTCTAGGTTCATGGCCTTGGAGATCTTGATGCGATCGTAGGGCAAGTAGTTCTCGCGGCTCACGAGAATCAGGCGGCCGGTGAAGCCCTCTTGACGCAGCGTTTCCACGCAAACGGCACCCGAGGGTCCGCCGCCAACCACAATGAAGCAGCGCTGATCTTCCGGCTTGCGCGCGACCATGTTCTTAACCCGCTTACTCTTCGCCAGATCGGACCGCTTAGCCCGCAGCATCACCTTTCCCTCGGAGCTAACCTCCACGTTGAAGCAGGGCAGCGAGTCAAGGCCGGGAAAGTCCTCAATGTCGCCCGTCTCCAGGTCGAAGCAGGCCCCATGCCAGGGGCAGCGCACACGGCCCTGACCGAGGGCGCCAGTGTTCAGCGGAGCCCCGTAATGGGTGCACTTGGCGCCGACCGCCTGCAGGCGACCGTTTTGTTTGACCAGAAGAACGCGCGTGTCTTCGTCGAAGTCCACCTGCTTCATCTCGTTCTCCTTCAGGTCGGCCGCATTGCACACGGCCACGGGGTCCGTATAATCGACGATATCTGGTATCTGAATGGCTGGCATATTTGTATCTTTGCTGATGCTACTGCTGCTGGTGCACTTGGACTGATAGGAACCCACGGCGCCACCTAAGAGACACACACACAAAAGAAATGGTAAGAGTTAGATGGAAGACAAAATTAACGATAGCAGATAACAGATCTGTTCAGAAATGAAGCACTTAAAAAATTTTCTATTTTTCCAGTTTCCAACTCAAAAATGGGAAAGGGAGGGTAGGGTAGGGCATGGGGGAAAGTCAGTAGCTCTCGCCTGCTATACTAGATGCTCAGGTAGAAAGCGGATGGGATCGATTCCTCAGTCTCAAAAATGTCTTGCTTGTGTTCAGAACTCGTCATCGCCCTTATGGCCCTGCTGGCCTTGTGTCTCGGTCTGTCCTCATCCTCCGATCCTGTGCAGCAACTGGAATTAAAATCGCTTCGAAGTCACCGGGAAAGGCTTTTGGGGGAGATCGAGCGCATCTACATAGAGCAGCCGCTAGGCACGGAAACGCAGCTGCTGCTCGACGATCTTTTCTTACGGGATCAGCAACTGCGGGTGCAAATCGACCACCTGGAGGCTACCCGTGGAGTTGAAGAGGCAAGCTCCAACTATAGCCCATCGCAGGAGAGCACCAGCACCCAGCGGCTGGCCATCAATCTGACCGCCGACTTTGAGCATCTGCAGCACAAGCTGGACGACCTTAAGCATCATCTGGAGCGTCTGGACGGACGCTTTGGCACGCAGCTAGGCAAGCAGCTGGACAGTCACACGACCAGCAGTATTCCACCAGCCACCCCGGCCTCCTCCGGCCTCGGTTCGTTCTTTTGGACACCGCTGCTTACAATGCCGGAATTTCCACAGGGCAGCATCACCACTGACAACGGGCACGACCACAAGGGGCAGCCGGGGCAGCACCAGAATCAGCAGCAGCAGGGAAGTCCCTCCATAATCAAACGCGTCCTGGACATGCTTCGACCTTCAACCGCTGGCCTCCGCAACCGTTGGTCGGAGTGGGAGAAATCCACCTCGGGATCTGGATCTGGAACGGGGTCATCCGCCAAGCTTCAGGCGCTGACTGCCGAGGAGCTCTTGCCGCAGCTGCAAGAGCAGCGGAAATTTCTCGACGATGCCATCAGGCGACTGGAACTCTTGTCCACGACGAAGAGCCCAAAGAAGCATTAGGATCAATACGTATAGATAATCGTGTGGATTTTTTATTGGGGGGTGCAGGTGCCTAATTGCCAGAATTTTCCTGACCACAACAGAGTGGAGCTTGGCAACGGACATGACCCCCATGATTCGCAACACCACTGACTCATCTAAACTACTGCACTGTCATCGCCACGCCAAACTTTGCTACGTCATCAACAACAACAAAAAGAGAGGGAGAAACTAACAAAAACACCTATAAGTTTGTGTGTTCAACATCAATTGTTGCACTCAAATATGGTTGTACACTTCTCGTATTTCACTTATCGTCTTATCGGGAGTGACCTGCTAATGTACATATTACGAGTACGATTACGAGTACAAACAAGATATATCCGATTTATCGCCCAAGCAATAAAGTCGCTCGCAATTTGATTACTCGTCCATGATTCGACACTAATTTGGACCCACGCTTGTCCGGGTTTTATTAGGGGAACGATGATATGATATAACCATATCAACAAAGGGAATCCTACAGGCATCCAGGTTTCAGTCGACTGAAAATATTACCAAATGCTATTGTGAGCTGAGTGATTCTCATTGCGCGTACAAAATTTGTGATCGTTAACGTGTTTTATGCACTGTACATTTGTACTTTGCTACCGGGGAATGTCCAAGAACTCCCTTTTTTACCACTTTATTACGCGTCCATATTGAGAGGATTTTATAGTCTTTTATAGTCAATAGCTTCTCCTCTATTATCTTCTAGCCCAACCCCTTTTCAGCCTTTGATATGCCAATGTTTCTAATTAGGAATGATTTCGGATTGTGTTTTATTCGGAGACGCTCACACATACCACACACACAAGCAAACTGGCTGCTGACCCGCACAAACCGGTTGGCCTTGTCTAACCAGCATGACTCAAATGGGAACAAGAAATTGTAGACAATTGTAACACCGAAAACAACAAGAGAAGCAAACAATAATTATTGTACGAGAACAATGACAAATATCTTACAGAAAACTATTGGACAAACACGAGCAAAACGAGTTCTGTTCTTGTAGTTCAAGGATTAGCAAAAAGCTTGGTTGGTTTGGTTGGTTTTTTCTGCTGAGAGCCCTTCTTGGGGGGACCGGACCGTCAGCTGGTAGGCGAATATCACAAATGACGACCGCTGACGTCGCGGGCGACAGCGTAAGCCTTTCCGAATGCCGATAACAGTGACTAACAGCTGGAGACCGCAAACGTTTATGGGAAAGACAGCGAAGAAGAAAAAGTTGCTCTCTCTATTGGGCCACTCATTCCATTGAGACCATTCTTGTCTTGCCGGTTTCGAATCAGCTCAATCGGGCCTTGTGTGAGTGGAGAAAGGAACATGACAAAGGCAAAAGCCAATTTTTCCCCGTCATGGTCGGCAAGATTGGATATACATACATACATATGTACATATTTCTGTATATACATATTGTACATATGCATATACAAGGATAGATAGTGCAGTACCATATATGTACATATGTATACACTTATCACAATTTGCATATATTCGTGAATACACATACTTTTATGCATATACATACATAGGTACATACATACAAACATACGTATATATATGCATATATGTATGTATAATATATATGTATAGTATATATATGTATATATGTAACATATGTGCATATCCGTGAACAGAGCATTCAATCAAAGAACTACTCCTTTGGAGAGAATTTTTTTAAAGATAATTGATTTTTGGATTTTGGACCTCGCAGTGTTACACTTCTGTATATCGTATATTTAAGCAGTATTTTGGTCTGCAAGGGTGCCAAAACCATCGGTTTCATAATTCAAACTGTTAGTAGCTATGTACATATGTACCTGTCGATTGTTCCTTTTTGGGCGTGACATTTCCTGTTGTGTTGTACTCCTTGCAGTTAATAGATCCCATTGTGTGCATGAGCTGGTGGCAGTGGAGGTGCAAGTGCCTTTGATGCTCGTTTTTGGGGTCAATTTTCAAGCTAAATAGCGGGGGAAATCTGGCTTGGATTTTGTGCTGGACGGCTACAGTGTGCCCTAGAATGCTCGTTTTGGTCAAGTTCAGAGCTTGACGATAGTAGGGTTGCCACCTGAAAGTGCAGTTTATAATTAATACATGCTATGCTCAAGGCCTTCCTTTGTTTAACTTCCAGCGGCGCACAATCATTATCAGTTGATTATAATACATACAAATGCATAGATAAATTTGTATAAGTACTTACATATATATTCATGTATGTATGTACATTTGTATTTGTTGAAAACTTGTTGAAACTTAAACTTTTTGCTCGATTTGGCAGATGAGTCATTAGGGTTTTTTTTGTGGTTGGGAAATGATTCTTGATAGCCGCTGCCCGAAAACCGCCTAAATTCGAGTGGTTTCTGATATATTTTGCAAATACAGATATGAATGTACGGGCTTGCACTCATTTTTGCATGGTCGCTCATCTGGATTTGTTTATGCGCTGTCTCTTCTACTCACCTCTCTTCACTTCAGCGACATCCACTCCTTGGTCCAGTTCACATGTAGAGAACCACGAACAAACAAAACAACAACAAAATTCGGCAAACGAGTGGGTAGGGAGAGCGTGCAACAGGCTCGCCAAAAAGATAAAATTGAGATGACGATTGGTGTAGATGGGCGATAGGTGACAAGCAACAGGCGACAGACACCAGGCGGCTGTGCGATGTATTTACGATGTTCGAGGCAAGAGCAAGAACGTTGGTTAAGAGAAACAGAGAGAGAGAGAGAGACAGAGAGAGAGATAACAAGCACGTCCGTCGAGCGTGGACTGCGAACCGCGTATGCCGCACAACTTCGATAGTGGAACGATTGGGGCTCTATCGTAGCCGGGTTCGACGCACACGCAAGCGTACAGACATGCAAACATGTTCGTACATGTGTAAAACATGCATTGCGTTTGAGTGTGTGTGTGAGTTCTCCACTCTCGACCAGGTTTTTATGAGACTGTGTGCGACTAACGAAACGACTCGACCTTGCCGCAGTCGCATTTCACTTCCAGGCAAATCTCTTGAACCTCCTTTACACGAACGACGCCCCACCACACAACCAAACAATATAAAAACCCCCTCCACTCCATGCCCCGCCACACCTACCACACCCCAAAGCCTTTTACGCCGCTCCATACTGGTTTCCATTTGGAATGGCTTGCCACTGAGGGGCAACCTTCATGGAATGCAGCTTGCCCCAGCATGTAGTAGTTCACCTGTTGCCAGAGCTTACTGTGGCAAACATAAAATCGCCGGTATATGTATTGCATCACTGACCATAAACGATCTATCAGACCCGATGAGGTTATTATAATAGAATACTAAAAATTCCTGTAAATTTCTTTACACATACATATGTACAAATTTCTATGATAATTTGTGTCCATTCCTTCGGAATTTAAAGGAATAAAAGACTCGGAACCATAATACTACTTCAATGACAAATTTACCTTCTATCTTTTATAATTCAATTCCATAATTCCGGTTCCATTTTTTATTCAAGCAAACTCCTTCAAGCTTTGACTTCGTATGACAGTCTAACAAAGAGCCTAAAGTTATCTAAATTTGTGACTTCGATGGCACGTTGCAGATAAACAGTCTGCTGCATGTGAGCACGTAGTAAAACACGCACTTAACCTTATATGTACATACATACATATATGTACCTATACCTACATCTCTACAGCATTTATTTAGTTATATGGAGACGTACTTACATACCCATTGATAGATTACTCCATGGATCAAATGGAAACAAACAAGACAAGACACTTGGAACCCATTAATAGTATATATGGAATGATATGCTCCTTGCCGCTTTTATTGGTTTTTTGTTTGTTTTTGTTTTGCATTTGCCGCTTCGTTCGCTCCATCAGCTGTGTCTGGCAGTGTGACCGCGGACTTATCAATCAAATATACGGTCTGACCTTCAGAAATATACCGAAATGTATAAGGCTTAAATAAAAACGGTCAAAAAAATGTACACTAAATTAATTTACTTATATGGTTACTAAACGCTAACTACACATTGCTTACATGTAAATTACATTTTAACGTAATTAACAAAAGCGACACCTGAAGGGGAAATGTGTAGGTTTGAAACATTTTTTTTTTTATATAAGCCCCATGTAACTAGTGTGAAAACCTGTTACGCACATATCACCTTTTTCAGACATTTTTGAAAAATTCGATGCTGATCACAAATTTTTCTTCAATGTGGCCTGGGATATGGTTCTAAATTTCATTTCTAAACGATTTCTACATTGTTGCATTGGACAAGAGGTTAAGTCTATAACGCGTCTTAAAAAATACTGTAAGACACTAGAAAGTACCATGTAAAGTATAAAATTTTCACACTGTGATCGTTATATATTATTATTATTATTATTATAAATTTGATCACGGACGGTAGACACCATGTCTACCGTCCGTGATCAAATTTATAATAATAATAATAATAATATATAACGATCAAATCGTCTGATCCTCAGAAATAAACCAAAATATAACGTCTCATTTTCAAAATACACCGTACATATACCGATGAAAAAGCGAACCTGGAGCACTTTGACCCCCTTTATATAAACAGGATAACAAATTAAGTTAAACTCGAAAATATGCTTTATCTTTGCTTAAAAAATTACCACGATATCTTACACCTAACCTGCGGTAAAGCTCTTCAAGGACCAATTGTTCTCTGTCCATGATCGGAAATCATATTCCTCTATTTTGATATTTGATTTAATATTACTACTATCTAGCCAGGACCCTCAGCCCTTAACACATATGTACTTTTATCCGATTGATGAATCGGACATGCAATTTTAGGGTCTCCTTTTAATTTGATTGCGTCTCAAATAAGGCTTGAACAAAAAGGTCAAAACATAAAACGTAACTGAGTCTGACATGAAACGTAACTGAGTCTTGAATGTCACGTAATTTCCTACATGCTGCTGGCATTTGAAGACCTGCTTCTTGTCAGCCGGTATTATGGGTATACCCTATTTCGTTAATATTAAAATGCTGTTTTCCAAGCTGCTTTGAATCGTGGTTAATAATCTCTTTATTACAGATTCTTATGTTTTTGACATATTAATGCATTTAATCTGTTTTCTGTATATAATTCTCGAACCTGATACCCAGTCTTGGTTGCTGTAAGAAGACCATAAAGTGCACAATTTCGTGGAAATAGCTTTAAAACAGACAACTGACTAGTTTCTGCATTCATTGAAGCCTTGCATGACAAAAATGTCCTCAATTCTATAATATCCTTTCCCTAAGGTATGCCGAATGTTGCCCATTCAGTGCCACGTAATGTAATGGTGATGATTGATTGGTACCATTCAGGCTGAGCCACTAAAAACCGAAAGCTGGAGACATTCGGACAGTCGCTCAGGGTGAATATGCCGAAATTATTGGGGAATATCAACACGACACATCCGGGCAGGCTTGTCGTGGCCTTTTTCTGTCCGACTTAATATTTCGCCTGGGTACGGACATGTTTGGACATGTTTGGTCAGTTTAACGGACCGGACTAGTATTTGATTTGAATGGAAAGTCAAATTTGATGTACACAGGAGCCATTGGATAGGCGGTCTCCATTGTAATATAACTGCTTTCTTTCGTGTTACTATCTTCCGTTTCCTTGTTTTTCGTTCTCTCTAAAAATAAAGTTTTTTTTTTTCAAAACGGGGCCCTATTAGATTCGCCGACCACATGATCCGAGCACTTCTATCACTGTGGTCACCCAGTGCAGTCAGCGTCAGCACTGAAGACGAGGCTCAGAACCAGAACCTGGCTCAAGCCCAATCTGCGCGACAGATTCGAGCTCGCTGGGGGATGCGCCGCCAGAGCCAGAGTGGCAACGTTTATCCCCGGTTCCGCCATTTCTCGCGACACGCTCGAATGATAGCCTTTGAAATGGCCGGTCGACAGAATCTGGCCAATCTGTTAGACCGAGTCGAGCCAAACTTTCACCAGCCCCAAGCTGAACAGGATCCAGGTAAGAAAATGGGCCGTGACTATAGCTCTCTGTCATCATCCATCTCCATTTCCCGTCCAGACTTGAGTGAATCGGAGCCAGATGAGGGGTTCTTCCTTCAGCGTTACGGAGGAGGTTACGCGGTGATCCGCCGCCGGTGCAACTTCACCCTGCCGCGCATTGGAATCGACGAGCCCGTCAGCCAGCCCTTAGTGTGGCTGGCCCTGGAGACACTGGAGGCAGAAGCTTTCAATGTAAACGACATTCAAGGTACTCGTAGTTCCGCAGACTTTGTGGCACAGTTTTTGGTCAAAAATCTGACCATAGACGTCTTCAATGCTGGGAATCAGCCAGGCTATGGTCCCTCCAGTGTTCGACCACCACCACCACCACCCCCACCAGCTGTTAACTAGAAAAAAATCTATCCATATGCTGCTCGCTTGTGCTGGTCGGTGGTATCGGTAATGGTAACGAAAATTTCCCGTGATTAAATACACTTGACGCCAAATTAAGAATCCATATACATGTGCAGCTCGAGGATCGATCTGCACTCTTCAACAAAAATTTCCCATGATTACACACATTTCAAAAATCTTTCACCAACTAAGAAACTAGCTTAAAATTCAAAAGACGTTTAGCAGAAAGAGAGGAGACAACAGAGGTATCGCAAATCGATGTACCACCAGCGATGCCAAGATTAAATGACAAAAAATAATTGTTCTATATAAAATTCAGCACGAAAAGTATTGATTAAAATTGACATGAACCCCATGATCTCATTTATTTGTTATTTGGCAACTGGGAATTGCTATCGATGGCTAACCTAACCCCTGGTTTTGCTCCCGTCCTGGGATTGAGGCAGACTCTGCCGAGCTAATCGCGGGAAAATCAATTTTAATTAATTATTATTGCGACTAAGCATACTGCTTAGAAAATGGCCTCACGGCAATATATACATACATATGTAGTTTGAATCTGCATAAGGGCATTTAATGCAGACGAATACATACATATGTATGTACATATGCTTCATTAAGCATAAATAAATGACAACATTTATTTTATTATTTAGCACCTACATACATATGCATGTACGTATGTATTTAATCAAGGGAAACCCTCGATCTATTTTATTACGAGATGAAATGTTCAATGAGATGAATGTTCAATCAAACTTCTTATCCAAAACTCGCTGCATTCGGCATTTCATACTATGAAACGCACTGTATCCTATTACATTTTCCCTCTATAAATCCTTTTGTGTAAATCAGATCTGCCACATTAGCGTTTTTCTTAAATTATTGATGAATTCGATGGAAATGCGGATATTGTTTTTTACTTTTTATTGATCTATATTTTAATTTGAAATCGTGCTCCTAATCGCACACATGGAAGCCCAGATATGCATATAAATGTTATGTAGTCGATTCTGTTTACAACTCGAGTCCACGCGCCACTCAAGTGATTCGCTGTGGAATCGCTGGGCTGCTGACGCGGCGAAATCAGTGCGTGTGGGCTTCATGGGAAATGGAAGTGCTAGCCGAGAAATGAAAGGTCAACAGGACACACGCACCCGCTCTCTGCCACACGAAGCACCACACAAAGCAAAAGTGCAACGGCCCTGAGGGGTGGCCGCGTAGTGGTCGTGCTCAAGGCCACGTCTCGCCCAGACAGAGTCCAGACAAGTCCCCAGTCCAGTCCAGGCCCCCGAATTCCAGCCCGAGCCTCGCCGGAGACCGAGCGGAGCCATCGGCCGCAGTCGGTAGAGATTAGAGATGGGCATGGCGGTTCCGATTCTGGGTCACTGATTCCAGCTAGCACTTTTGGCACGCGAACCAACAGCAATTCGAATCGATACATTTTTCGAAGAATGAATCCTGAATACCCTATATATAAACTAATAGGTATTATCTGTTTAATGATGAGTAATTTTGTCTTGAATGCAACCTGTTCTTTTGTGCTATTCAGATAAAACGAGCGGGAACGTTGTGAGCCGCGGCTCAGTCAGTATACATATATGTATGTACATATGTACGTACATATGTGAGCTTATGATATATGTAACCTATATAATATATTGTATACCTAATTATACCTAAGCACCAGAGTTAGTATCGCATACTTTTGAAATACCCTTCTGAGAGTGTGATATGACAGGAGTCTGGTCTTGCTCTTATTGTCTCTGAGATCTAGTTGCTTATAAAGACGGAGACATGGACAGTCAGACATGGCTATATCGACTAAGCTCTTGATGCTGATCAAGAATATATACACTTAATGGGGTCGGAAACGCCTCTTTCTAAGTGTTAATCGGATCGGATCATTGCATTTTCTGGGATTGGGATTTTTCCAAGGATTAAGTTGGTCTTGGAACGACTTGGGATACCTTAAATTCACTTGGAAAGGTTTGTCATCACTGTTTTTAGCTTTCTCTGACTAAATTGATAACTCTCATCGCTTGCTCTTCCAACCACACTCTCTCTCTCTCTGGCTGCAGCTTTTTGACTGTTTTTTGGGCCAGACATTGCCCTTGAGGTCTCTTAACCGATTGCAGTTCATTGGCGTCCCCGCCCCATCCCAATCTACAGGCTCAGCTTCAGCCTGAGTCGATTCCATTACATTTCACACCACCCACGTCAGACCGAGTAGTTTAAAGCCATTTGAACCCAGAAAAATGTGTGTCTATGCCCGTTGGTGATCTATGCTCGCAGCATCTACACACATATGCACATACATATATCTCCATCCTGTTGTTGTTGGGGACAGGTCGCGTTGTGGGTCGATTGGAACAGTTTATTGACATCGGGCGATAATTTGGTGCTGTTTGTTCGTATCGCTCGCGTGAAAATATTCGCAAATATTGAGTCGGAATCGGAATGCTCGTACAAAGGTGAGGATCTAAGATCTATTAGGGGCGATTTCTGTGACGGTACGAAGTGGTCCATAAAGCACTGTACTTAAACTCAAGTGGGGTCTGGAATGGGTATTACTCATTTATTTACTACTATGTATTATGTATACTATGTATTTCTTAAATACATAAAAACGGATAGTATTTTATTACCTACATTTATTTAATTATATGAGGTTCTATACATTTTTTTGTTTAAATTAAATATAAAAATATTTATGTTGGTTGTTCCAATAGCGTTTCAGAAAAACATGTTGTATTTACATACTTGCGTGGGGATTATTTTTCAAAGTAAATTCATAAGAGAGTAAATTCATAACACATACTCCTCTATCCATCCGAATATATGTACTTTCCTCTGATCAATTTCAAAATCATATGTAGGGTTTCAGCTACCCAACTGAACTCCGATGAGCACTGCACTCCATTTACTTTGAGGTATTTCCATTCAATTTCATGGAACTTGCAACTTAATTGCAAAGTTCAGTTTGCTCTAATGGGAATCCGATAGGTTTTTGCTGTTGTTTCTGTTTCTGTTGCTATAATTAAGATTGTGGACTGTTGTCGCCGATGTCTACGCTTTTCATCAACAACAAACACCAGCAGAGCAGGAGGCAGAGCCAGCAACAGAGGCTGAGCCATCACCTCCTCCACGCTTCTGGGTCAATAATCTGCGTCTGAGCTGGATTGTTGTTGGCGCCCGCCTGCCGCACATGTCAATCAATGGAGATCCAATTTTAGCACAAGTAAACAATATTTGCTCGATCGATCCTCCATTGGGTGAGGGATTCTGGGTGGCAAGGGAGAAGTAGATGAGGAGTCCAGCGCAGTGGGGCCTCTGCCTCCCACAAGTGGCTTATCGCCAGGCGCTGGGGTATGCCTGAATAGAGGAAAAAACCAAGGGAGCTCAGCTTGTTCATCGTGATTGCATCGTTGTGTTGACTATCGATAATTCGCAAGTCATCGATATGGTACACAGACGGCCTTCGATGCCACCATCGGCCTTCACCATGGCGTTGTGTTGGCTCTCAAACATTCGATATTGTATTAAACTTGTGATACAACCTACGAACGGTAATCGAATAAAGCGGTGCTTTATCGATTAATCGATTCATTTATATATGTATGTATACTGTGTTCGTAATTCAGGTACTTTTCTATCGATATTGTTTAGTTTTGATCGATAAATCCGCTTATCGACCAATCATCCGTTGACCCTGACGCAGCGTTGCCTCATCCGTTTGGGCCTTCCCACCTTGGACTTTGCACCGCATTGCGTATGGCATCATCCCGCCTACCAGCTCTCCTCCAAGCAATCCTCCACTCTGGCACCATCCCCATTCCCATCAAAGTGAAGTGACAGATCTCAAGACGGCTTATCTCTCTAGATGACTTAGAATGGAGCAACTCTCGTTCGCTCTCTGTTGTTTTCCTCGCGAGAGAGATTAATGCTAAAAATAGGGATCTTTTATTTCGATTCGAAACTAGATCACGTCGAATACACGTTGTCGTTGTTTACGGTTTTTTCACAGCGTTACGCCCCACGCCCTCCGACTGGGCTGCCGCTGCCCCATTGGTTTCCGTTCTTCATCATCTCCTGCTACTGCTCCGCAGCCTTCTCCACGCTGCACTCGGAGTCGCAGTCGCAGTCACGGCAGCGCCAACGACAAGCAACAAAAACATCAACAACTCTTATCGACAGGCATTATCTCACCCAGCCCAAGACCCCAGATCGCCCATAGAATATGTAGGGTATACACTTGGGACTCGAGCCAGATGCCATAACCCTAGACCAAGGACCAGACCAGACCGTCAGGAGGGAATGCCCATGCCAATTATCTGCAATCATCTCGTACAGTACAGACGCACTCCCACTTCCACTCCCCACCAGTCTCATCGGAAAGAACTGCGGTTCACAGTCCAGTTCGATTAAATAGGGATTTCGACTTAATTTTAAATAGTAATTATTGAAAAGTCAGTAAGGAATAAGCAAGCTTCAGCCAGAAGCTTTTAGGATTTACTGGCCTGGCCATCAGGACAGTTGTGTATGTACATATGTAGTTGTTCCATTCACCTCAAGATTTCGGTGAACTGCACCCCGGAAAAGTTTCAGCTAGATAGTTTCAAAAATGGAATGTAATAAATAAATGGATGTGATTAATATGTATCTATAATACAACAAACTGCTTTGATCGATATCGATGATCTATACTTTATAATGGTTTTTGAGTTAAGTAGATCCCTTGAAAGAGGTCAAAATAACAATACCCATTAACCAAAATGTGGCAATTACGACCTACACGTACGAACGTTGCCATATCATCGGGAGGGAAGATGCTGTTCGGATGGATCCACTCTATTTGCTTCTGTTTTTGTTGCTATTGCTGTTGCTGCTGTTTGCATTTGTCACTCTCAGCCAGATAACGCACACACGCACATGTGCACGCACACAGGCACGCTCAAAGGCAATCTCGTGAATATTATTGTCAGTGTACCCGGCCGTACTTAATGCCGAACACACACAGTCCCGCACACACAGTGGCCCCCACAGTGACCCAAAGTTGATTGGATGGATGTGTCATGGCCAGACATTTGTTTTCTTTCATAAGTTTTGTTTACTTTATAGGCTCTTTGTACCAAAACATGCGTCTCTACGTTAGAAACCTGGTTCCGCTCGGCCGCTTCCCTGGACGTGGCTTTCACGTGCACTGACACCCATAGGCCCGGAAGCAGTGTAACTGTAACTGCATATGTATATGCGTTACGATATGCTCTATTACGAACCAAGTGATACCCAGTCAACGAAATACATACGTAAGTACATATGTTCATGTGTACATACATATGTACATACATACTATATGAACGAGCTACTTATGTACACATTTTTGTACTATATACATACATATGTCGGATCCCATTGATATTGATCCCATTCATGCTGTTAGAATTTAACGATCATAATGATTCGTGATGGATTTTCAGTATCACAGTCGAATCGCTCGTAATACAGGTGGTTATTTATTTTCGATGCCTAGGTAAGTGTAGACGATAAATTGTATTCCTGTGAAAGCTCTAAACTGTATCTGTGATGATTGTGGTGATAAAAAATATGTGCTCATACATACATACATGTGTGTGTGCATAAGTTTTCCCTCTGCCTGCTGCATGCATCTCCACAAATAGAGTATACCTTGGACTCCTCGAGTACCGTTTACAAGAAGCACACCCGATCGCGAACGAATGGAACGAATACGATTTGCCGACGACGGCAAGAGCGGGGCTTCGGCTTCGCGAAGCGCTGGCCGCACTTAAAAGATTCTTTTTCAATTTGGCTGTGAAACAACGAAGAACGTGAGCAATCCGATCAGATCTCTCAAACGCGAACCGATTCCACACAAAAGGCAGTGCGGAGCTTACTGGAATTCGGGCGAATGTGCAACGAAAGTGAAACGAAGAGCAGCAGAAGAACCGGAAGTGAGAGAAACAGAAAATTAGAATACTTTCAATTTAAGGCAGTCTAAGCCTGGAGCACACTCACTTAATTCAAGTCACTGAGGGGCTTTGAACAATTGGATCACACTAAGTGGCAGGCAGTGTAACATTCGAACATTTAAAACACACTTAGTTAATGGTGCAGTGTTAGCTTCGAACAACTGGAACACACACACACACACACTCAATTGGATGGAGTGGAAGTGGGTGTATGAAAGAAACAGCAAAGCAAGCGGCAGGAAGTGGCCAAACTAGCGAGCGAGAGCGACAGGGAGAGAGAGCGAGCGTAAGACAAGACGAGTAAGACAAAGAGAGATAACCGTCAAACAGCAGCAGAGCAGCGCCAGCGCAAACAGCTTCCAGTCGCAGTCTAATTTTAGCACACTGATGTCTAAAAATAAACAACAATTCCACAGGCACACAACCACAAACTCGGGCAAACAAACCCATTGAGAGCAGGAGAGGAGGGAAATAGCCTGCAGATCAGAGAGAAGTGTAAAACAGTTTCGATTCGAATTCCGCTTTCGTAAGTGTCGCGCGCGATTATCAGCTATTTATTCCACAGAAGCGCGCTGGCTGTTTATAAGGATAGTGATAGCCCAAAATCTGCGGCAACGCCAAAGGGTGCAAGGGAACGAACGAAGCAAACGGTGCGAACCGCGCAGGCGCAGCTTACGGGCCTTACAGGGAAACAGAGGCACAGATATAACGAAAAGGAGCCATCACAAAATGCGAGGAGCGTGAGTTGGCAGAGCGAGAGGAGAGGCTAAGAGAGTGCACATGACGAGCAATCGAACATCGAGCATAGAACATCACTCAGCGGCCGGACATTGAGTTGGCTCGGGCCGGCCCAGGCACGGTCTACTTTCGAGATTCCACGTTCCACAGGGAAACGACGCCACACGAGATGCAACAAGAACTGCAGCTGAAGCACTCGAGCACACCAGCAGCAGCCCAAGCAAAAGCACGCGTCACCCCCCCAGTGCAGTTCGATTGCCCCAGCCGCAGCACAGACACTCGCACCAATCGCCTATCGATCCCGATAACTCATTGAAAGACAACTCAGATCCCTGTCGATCCGCTTCGGTGCACAATTGTGTTCTTTCCGCACAAGCGGAAAGCTTCCCACAACTATTTTCGTTTGTTTTTTTGTGCACGTAATACCACCGCTCACCCCTCACTAAGCCCCATACCACAGAGGGAACTCCCCCAAAAAGATAAACGTTAGTGTTATCGATTTTTGTTGCTTTTTGTTTTGTTTTCGTCAATTGAATGTGATTTTGAAACGGTGTGATTGCAAAAGAATTAATATGCAAATTACCAAAAAGAAAGTTCCTTAGGCAAGTGATAATACGACAGAACTCAAGAGAGTGCACGCATATACACAAAATACAATATATACACATATGTCCTACGTATATCCACAACACATACATATATCTGCGTACATAACAACACAAAGCAAGGCCCAGACAACTAGAATATACTCTTTCTACGCCCGGGACACGCAGCATGCAAACGTGAGTAGTGCCGTCCAGCCTTAGTTTTATAGGGGAGACTTTAATTTCAAGAATTGATACTTAATACTTTAATACTCTATTTGGCAATATAAAGGGCAAGTGCTATTATCATCTGTGTTTGATTCCTCAGTACAACAGCTAAATTCAATTCTTATCTTAGGTTAAACAAAACTTAGTTTTGTTTGGACGGGCTAAGAATTCCTTCAAGGAACTTTTCTTCAATCTGTCAATAAAATAAGCAGCAGAGACTGTCTTAAGCGGCAATCAAAAATAGTTCACAGAATGCAAACTTGATTTGATATAACCAAATTGATCCCTAACAGACTCAAGCGAGTTTTCTTATAATCAATCCTTGGAAAAAGATTCCATACTAAGAATGAATTAAAACCCTTTTGGATCCATTTGCTACAAACTCTTGATATTCGAGAAACACTTATCTTTTCCGACAAGCTTATCAATATTCAATTAAACCGAAATGAATCGTTCAAGCCGAGATCAATCTAGCCGAACAAGCAATCGAAAATTCCAATGCTGCGAGTATATGCGAGTGATTGGGTGCAGCAATACGATAGCTCTGTCACAGGATGACCGATCGCCTCTTGTTTATTTCCCACTCGGTGCAGTATACGCGAACGCGAAAGAAGTGGAAAACATTGAACCACATACTATATATAGGGTCGGCTCTGGCGGCTGGAAGCTGATTCTCAAAAGCAAACAAAAACAAAGCCACATGGGGCATGCCTCTCGCCCGCGTCTCTCCCTTGGCTCACACACTCCCGTTACTGATTGTGTATAAAAAGAACTCATGTTCCAAATGATAAGCCGATTCAGAGGCAGACTGGAGGTTTATTTTTAAACACTGAAGTTTATGTAAATATTTCCTGGCCATCCCCAGCGTCAACTCAGGCCCCAGCGCCAGCCCTAGACCCAAGCCAAGCCCCGATCTAGCGTCAGACAAAAACAAAACCACAATCGAATGGGATCTGAATTAAAAATATAGTAATATTTGACACTGATAAACGAGGAGCCGGTGTCCCATCGCACAGACCCAGAGGCGGGTGGTACCGTGCGATATATGTAAGGATATCCGGAAAAGCGTTACAGATAAAAAACTTGAAAAATACAGATAGAACAGGTGTAAGCCAAACTTCCATAGTTAAATCTCGAAAGCTGCACATTACGAGTAGTCTTAACATCTAGCAATCGTTAATATGACTTTGTTAATGTACCATACATTCGCTTTAGTATTCATTAAGTAAATTTATACTGGAGATGGATAGAAGCATAGAGAACCCTTGAGAAAACTTTTTCAAGTATCCCTAACCTAACCCTTCTTTCGTTGCAGATGATTCTCGCAGTGCCAACATCTAAAGTTATCGTAGTGCTGGCCGCAGTCATGCTGGGCCTGACGCTGTCTGGCAGCCCCCTGACCGAGGCGAGTCCTGTGACCACCGATGATGGTGGGGTGCGCACGCGCTGTGCCGACATCCTAGCCGAGTCCATACAACTTATCTGCAGAAATCGCACTCGCTCGCTGGCCGATGCCTATCGTAAGTTTCGATACCGACACCCCTGAAAGTTCCATACAGATAAAATAATCAATGCGTTTACCCCCGAACAGCCAACAGCTTTGGGCGTCGCAACAAGCGCCTCTCCCCCGACGAGATATTCTACAGACCACTGCAGAACGGTCCCACCCACGATTGTTGCAGCCGTCCGTGCAACTACACGGAACTCAAGCAGTACTGCGCTCCCCCTGAAAGTGAAAACTGAATGAGAAATCTATCACTAGAACTAACCACCAGATACCCTTTCAAGCTAGGCGTACCGTACAGTTGCATACATAAATATTGCACCAGCATCCAGATACTATTCACCACCAGCACCAGCAGCAGCACCAGCAGCAGCACCAGCAGTAGCAGCATCCAGAAAAGCACCAGCATCTACAACCACATAGAGTACACATACACTTAGTATATTCCACTAATTTAAATTACGCTCTAATTGCACTTTGTAAAAATAAACATGCGAATGCGAGAAATCCTTCTAGGAAAATGCCCACTTTGTTATGGACACATCCATCTGATATTTGTTTATACGTATAAATAATCGTAAATATATGCTTACTTCTCATGTTCTTCGTATGCATTTGAGACACTTGTGAATATGCTCGTTATGGTCTACTTTGAAACCTCTTCTCCTTGAACTGAGCTTTTCCACTGCCTTCTCCCAAATTCAGTTGTTCGAATGAGAGTTCGAATGGTGGTGTTATTGATTACCCAGCTTATTTCCATTTCAATTTCCTCTCCCGAAACCGAAACGGAACCACTTGAAACGAGGGGGAACGTTGTGAGTTGCTGCGGACACCGCAACTCTACGGTTATACCCGATACTAAGTCAGTATGGCTCTCCTCCGGCAGACGCCGCTAATATTTAACGACACGACAAAGAGTGCGTGCGAGAGAGACAGAAAATCAGTCTGAGCGTGACGTAACCAAATTTGGTTACTCTAGCCTTAATAGTCTCTGAGATTTGTGGTTGCCTCAGATTTTCGTCCTTTGCGGGGGCGGAAGGGGGTGTGGCGAAATTTGGACAGGAAACGGTCAAGGTCCGATATCACAGGAGTGTGGATACCAAATTTGGTTGCTCTGGCTTTTATAGGTTCTGAGATCCTTGAACTCATATTTTGCAATTGGCAAAACCGACCATGAAACCTGTGTGTTAGAGTGAGACAGAGCGAGAAAGAGTGAAATTGTTTTCGTGATTCTGGCTGTAATAATTATACGATCTGGTTCAGATTTTGCACTCTAAAAGATATAGTCATCTTCTACGATTCTGCGTTTTTAGTTTTCTCGTATCGTCGAAATTGTGGATGCCACAGATTTTCGCCCTTTGTGGGGGCGGAAGTGGGCGGGGCAAAGTTTTGAAATATTTTTGGAGCAGTGACATATCACAGAAGTCCCTATACTTTATAGGGTCGGAAACGATTCCTTCTGGACGTTACACACATCCACTTTTACCACAAATCTAATATACCCCAATACTCATTTTGAGTATCGGGTATAAAAACATTCCTAGACAACCTCATATCGAGTTCATAGAGAATATCCTATGTCAGGACAATATCTGCCACTCTTCATTTGACGCCTCCATTGTTGGTTTTATAGCACACAAAACGGGACAGCCATTTGGAGTGGCATTCAAGGAGATTGTCAAGGCTTGGGTTCGGTTTGAGTTGGGGTTCGGATGAGGGTTGGGGTCATGCAAAATGCATAACACTCTGCTATCCCCGTGCTCATTCGTTCCGGTCATGCTATTCGACATTTGAAAAGCACCACCACCCATCCCACACATTTGGACTGGACGGGGCTGAATGGGGGTCACGAGGATGATGACTACAAATTAGATTACAAACGCTGACGATGAGGATTTTAATGATGGTGCAAATCAGACACAGAAGGGAATACCTTCGAGCATCCCTTGGCGACGCCATAGACAAAAAGATAGTGCAATACTAAATAGCTGACCACTACAAGAGCTTTGATTGAATTTCACATATTTAATAGTTGTTTAACTCTACACATCTTCTATTGCTCCTCGGTAGAAGGCAGCATTGGAGGAGATCGGTCTCCTTCTGGTCGACTGCCTATGAATCTTCATCATCTTCGTTGATGTAGGCTTTTTTTCTTTGCCTGGCGGGAACAAGCTGAATTACCCTACCTCCACTTCCATTGCAGTCCTCATCGCTTACCGCATTCGACGGTTGGGGATTTTCTGACGGTTTCCTTAAGAGGCCCATCAGTTTCCTACTGTTACTTCTTACTGTAAAGTTACTCGTCTTCAATTGAAACCAAAAAAAAAATATTTTAAAACGAAAAATGGAAGAAGAACAAAGTTCTAGCCCAGTTCAGGGCTACTCTGTTTTAAAAATTATTTTTTACTGGAATTTGGATGATCTCACTGCTAGCGACCTATTGCTTGGGGCCGAGCCGCTTGTAGTAGATGGTTCGACAAAACCTAGCTTTCGAGGGCTTCCCATTTTCATCCAGGGTTTCCTGCTCCAATCCGTCTTTCTTCGGCAATTCTTTCGACAAACAGATATTGTTTGACTGAGCAATCACTTTCAACCGAAGCCTGCGATCCCACATTTCTGGATGCGGACCATTTGTTAATGCTGTTGTAGTTGTGATTTCCATGGAATCTCTTTGGACAGCTCGTTTGCCGTATTTCGTATCGAAGAAATCCACCAAAAGGTCTACTGAAGATACATTTTTTATGACCGTATCGTCCTTGGCATTTGTCGATGACGATTTATCAATAGAATCCTGTTTTGGGGTAGAAAGCACCTCGAAATCCTGTCGGCAAGGTGGTATCACCCGACTCATTCGAGGAAAAGGCATGGCTTTTTCAACCGCCGTCTCGACGGACACCGAATCCGCGTTGGGCTTGCGAAACAGATTTTGGAAAAACGATCTTCCTTGGATAGGTACTGTGGGCTCTTTGTCTTCGGGACTGGTCTTTCCTTTTCCCGATGGCGTTTGATTCTTGATCTGTTTTTGGATAGAGCCCATTGGAAATCTTTTTCGCGGAAAGATAAGAACTGTGTCACCTACCTCAGTCGGAGGCAGAGGCCCGTGCACTCTTCCCTTGATAAAAAGATCTCCCTGAAATACCCGCTTCAAAATCGAAAATGATTGCCGAAGCCACTGGTTGAGTTTTCCCACTTGGGCCATTACGGAATCCCGCACAATGACTGTTTATGACATTTGCTTAGCCTTAGAACAGCTTTAATTTTCTTGTTTTTGTTTTCGATTTTTCAAAAGAACAAATAAATTTCTATATTTTAGACCGACCTCTCTCGTCAACTGTTTGCACTATACTGAACTTAAAAAGTGCCGTGTTGTCGAATAGATGTTTGGGAATTTGATGTTGTTGGAATATAGACTACTAGGTTCTGGAACGTTTCAATATGACTGTGAAAAGTCTTAAGTTCCCAGTCAGGAAGTTGTCCGGTTGAACATGTCAGTGGAGCATTATTTTTCGTGCACGCACTTGAGCGATATAGGAAATGGCATTTCAAATTTTCTTCATTAGCCTCGGAAAATATGAACACTAATATTGGTAAAAGTTTTCCAGAAGAGCAATTGTCCTTAAGTACTCAACGCAGGGGTTTTTGACAACGGACAAACTGGAAGATGGGCCATAACATAACATGTCTGGGTCAAAACAGAAGTGGAGCAGAGGGTGAGAGCACAGTGGAAGGATAAATGACACCAGACAAACTTAGCCGGCTTTGGGTTTAAAGTCCAGGCTGGGACGTTTCCCAAGTTTTCATTCTTCGCAGCGAATCCTTAGAACAGCCCAGGCATTTACTCACGGGGTTGTTAGGCAAAAAAGTGTTCGGAGGACTTTTCCAAACAGTCTTCAAAGAGAGAGAGGGCGGGGAAAAGGACCAGGCGAGTCAACAGAAGTCATATAAGGGTAAATTCAACCCCAAAAGAAGCTCGACAAACAAAAACCGATAGGAAAATTCCACCCACACACATAAGAGTTGGCCACGTAGATTCATCTCGCATATGGAGGAGTCTTTTGAATGCGCCAGAGCAGTCCCATCTCGTCAGTCACTCAGCCCCAAAGAGTGCGTTTGTTTTCTAGAGCTTGAAGAATGAAACCCACTTAAATGGAATGAAATAAATGTTAAAAACTAAAACTTAACATAACGGCACAAGGGGAACAAAAAAAAGTGAATCAATGAGCATACAAAAATCCCATTAAAACTATTTTCAAACGCCTAAAACCTGCAGTTAAAATATAAGTACAGTACATATATGTATGTATGTTATTATGGTTGGGCTTGATTGAACGGGCGAAAAAGAAAGGGTCGGAATCGAAGGTCTCAGGGCATGTTTAATTTCTTTTGGTATAAAACAGTATAATATAACTGTTCAGCCCGATTTGAGCACGTTTACAGTTGCCGACTTGAGGTCAAAGCTGGAAAATACGATATTTGGCCAATCGCTCTGATCGGATTGAATTTTTTGTTGTGATCTAGAATATTAAAATATAATTTAATGAAGATTTTCAAAATGCTTTAAAAAAATTTAGACAATTAAAAGTGGTTAATGATACAGCCGAACGTGCTTATGCAAGACTATAACCGAATACTAACCAAAAATGAAGATTAGTTTCAGAAGTTGATAAACGTCGCAAAAGCAAATTCTAGTTATTCTTTTTAATGTATCAATTTTTTAATATAAATATACAAATACAGGGCAAATCCACTTTCTACGAGCACTCCTCTTGACTGTTTTCGGACACAGCGAGCTAAAGTCATGATAAGACTCTCGCCATTCTTTGGCGGCATCTACATTTGCTGGAGACTCATCGTTGGGATCAGCCAACATTGATATCACTGATATCAAGATAGTTTCCACTGCAGACGTCTCCGTTTTTATACCCGATACTCAAAATGAGTATTGGGGTATATTAGATTTGTGGTGAAAGTGGATGTGTGTAACGTCCAGAAGGAATCGTTTCCGACCCTATAAAGTATATATATTCTTGATCAGCATCAATAGCCGAGTCGATTGAGCCCTGTCTGTCTGTCCGTCCGTCCGTCTGTCCGTCTGTCCGTCCCCTTCAGCGCCTAATGCTCAAAGGCTATAAGAGCTAGAACAACGATGTTTTGGATCCAGACTTCTGTGATATGTCACTGCTCCAAAAATATTTCAAAACTTTGCCCCGCCCACTTCCGCCCCCACAAAGGGCGAAAATCTGTGGCATCCACAATTTCGACGATACGAGAAAACTAAAAACGCAGAATCGTAGAAGATGACTATATCTTCTAGAGTGCAAAATCTGAACCAGATCGTATAATTATTATAGCCAGAATCACGAAAACAATTTCACTCTTTCTCGCTCTGTCTCACTCTAACACACAGGTTTCATGGTCGGTTTTGCCAATTGCAAAATATGAGTTCAAGGATCTCAGAACCTATAAAAGCCAGAGCAACCAAATTTGGTATCCACACTCCTGTGATATCGAACCTTGACCGTTTCATGTCCAAATTTCGCCACACCCCCTTCCGCCCCCGCAAAGGACGAAAATCTGAGGCAACCACAAATCTCAGAGACTATTAAGGCTAGAGTAACCAAATTTGGTACACACACTCCTTTAAGATGTCACTATAAAACGTATATCTCAGAATTTCGCCCCACCCCCATCCGCCCCCACAAAGGACGAAAATCTGTTGCATCCACAATATTGCAGATTTGAGAAAACTAAAAACGCAGAATCATAGATAATGACCATATCTATTAGATTGCTGAATCTGGATCAGATCAGATCATTTTTATAGCCAAAAGGAACAAATCAATTTGCAGTGGCTACGCAGCGCCCGACGTCACGCTCAGACTGATTTTCTGTCTCTCTCGCACGCACTCTTTGTCGTGTCGTTAAATATTAGCGGCGTCTGCCGGAGGAGAGCCATACTGACTTAGTATCGGGTATAACTCTAGAGTTGCGGTGTCCGCAGCAACTCACAACGTTCCCCCTCGTTTTTTTTAGTTTGCAATTGCAATATGGATATATGTACATATTGGCTATTGGCAGCACACTTCCAGGATCTTGCCTTGATTTCTATATTCAGCATTATTATTTTAATAATTATTTTATGTTTATATTATTTATTATTATTATTATTAGGTTTGCTACGCCTTGCACAGTATCTGCCGACTTGAGTCGCCAATCGCAGATGATTTACTTTCGGACGAAACTGAATAAAAGTTTCAGCCACCGATTTTAATGTTTCTGTTTAGAGAGCAGAGATTTTTAAATCTAGAATGAGGAGTAGACGGCCGAGCACGTTTCGCTTTTGGTTCCGCCTCCAATTCATCACCAAGCAGGGTCATAGACATCGGAGACAACGGCGATACTTGGAGAATTTCTGCCTCTTGCTTTGGGGTTGTCCCGAAAGCTAAACCGCCTATTCTACTTACCATCTCAGAAAGGCCGCATAAACTCATGGGTTGTATAGCCATCTGGGAGTGTGTCCGGCCTCCTGTACTCTTTTCATCCTGCTCGTTTCGGGCTAGCTTCTTGCTTACTAAAATTTTCAGTCCGACCATAACTTTAAAAAAAAGCTAACTTTAATAACATTCGGAATGTAAATCTGAAATACTTGCAAGCTTTGCGTACCTCGCACGGTATTTTGTAAATAATTCAAATAACTAATACGGAGTTTACATTCACTTGCCAACCCTTGCCAACTATTGATACCGATATTTTATCTGGCAAAGGGAATTTGCAATTTGTTGTTGTTTTGGTGTATTTGAGGTGACAATAAAAACAAATTTATTAAATATATTAATTTATACAAACAATTCCAATTATATAAATATACACTTAGAGCATCAGCAAATATTTGTATATTTTTTCCCCGCTCATACAAATTTTTACTTACGTAGGTACTATGTGCAATTCATTTTGAAAAAATCTTACGATTTGTGAAAGCCGTTCGATCAATCAGTTCGATTTTACAGTCGATTCGCAACTTTTTTCGATTTTTATTGATCAATTATTTCTCTCAGGAAAAAAGTGACCTAGGCCAGAAACCTTGATAGCAGTCCTCGTAAAACAGGAGCCCGGAAATAATATATTTTGACTTTTTGAAGATTAATTTGGTAGGAAGTGACTTAAAATTAAATCAGAAAATTCCGAGTCGAATTAATACGTAACGAATTTTTTAAAAGCAATCAAATAGATAAAATGAACGTCTTACATCGTGCCAATGTATTACCAGAGAGCAATATATTTGGCCTCTAATCTGAATAAAATAATCAACCATTTTAGTATCTGCTTTTTACCAACTGATTTTTAAAATTCAAGTTTGATCGATGCAAACGCCAAAGTTTCTGCTCGGAATGGAACATGAGATATCCAGTATGCAGAAATATCTCTTCTCTGAGCATGTCTCTGTACCTATGTACATACGTATGTATATAACGCTCAAATACTTGCTATATTATCTATGTACATTCACCCACCTTGTCATCAGAAGAATTCTTGAAGGATTGCCACAGCATTGCCATTTGAATCCGTTGCCATTTGAGAATTTGCTGCTCGCCCTCAACAAATAATATTTCACGGAATCTTTTCAGTTCAGTTTCAGTTAAGATGATTAAAATATAATTTAAAAAAATAGGCGAATATACATACATATGTATGGATGTTTGTATGTATGTGTGTATGTACATATGCTCACCTAATGGCGCGCAGCGCGTTCTGACATAAGAACGATCGATCTGCAAGAGTATCAATCATCAGCTGCGGCCCTCCCTTCTCGTTTCATTTCATACTACTCTTTGATACGTTTTTAAGGTTTTAGGGTACGAATTCAAGAGTGAAGCGGATGTCTGTTTATGTTTGTTTGTTGTGTGTGTGTGTGTGTGTGTGTGTGTGTGTTTTACTGTGTGCAAAAGAGACGAAGAGCCCGAAGAGCGTGCCATCTACAGTTTCACAACACACACTAATCCACGCATATAGTAGTATGAGCATGTAGACTTTAACCGCGTTATAAATACATACATATGTATGTACATACATATGTACATATTTCCTCATTTTAAACCGAAAAACAATAGCGCCTATACGTTATGTTTTCGCGAGCTGCTCGAAATATTCGCGAATATATCATTTAAATCGTTAGGCTGTGTTTCTTTCTGTGAAAAATAGCAATAAAAACTGCGTTGCCATTCGGAGCCTATTCTCTGGCACTAGAGCCTCTCGCGTTTTTCAAACGGAGAGCATAAAAAAACTCGTTTGAACAGAAAGCCACTCAGATTTCACACACGTGCTCGAAAAAGTTTCCATCGTTCCACCTCGCTGGAAGAGAGGCCGACAACAAAGAGCGCCTCGAAAGAGAGTGACCGGGTGTTTCGTACCGGCGTTCGTTTCGTCTCGTTTTACTCGTTCCGTTTGGGGCGTTTTCATTCGCGTTCGAGTTCGCGTTTAGTTCACTTGTGAAACTTAACTCTGCGACTAACAAATGGGACGTCCGCGCACCATTGACGTAACCAACTTGGTGGTAATATTCCCCGATAAGAACTTTTGCCGCTGCGTGCTTTGCGATAGGACCCTCGCTGGCTGCTTGCGGAGCAACATCAAGCGGCATTACCAGCGCCTGCATCCAGAAGTCGTCTTGCCACGACCCCAAGACACAGGATCTACCGGACAGACGAAAAAATCAGGTTGGTTTAAATTTAAAACCCGTGTGAAAATAATAAATAACAATCACAGACATAAGAAACGAAGACAGACACTAATGCAAAAGGCACGCGTAATTTTTCCAATGCACCAAACGAGTCGCACTTTGAGCGAAATGCTCCCTCTCACACTCACTCTCTCGCAGTGCAATCGAAACTGTACTTATTGCCCTCGCTTTGTGTGGAGTTAATTTGTGTTGACGTTGCTGATCCACAGTTAACCCTAGAAAGAACCAATAATTGATAAGAACCATTTAAAGTTGTATGATTTTTCTGATACATTTTTGTAATTAAATTTTAATTTTACTTAACCACCACACATTACGCATTCATATATGTACATACAAATATGTACACTATAGGCGTCATAGGAACATTTAACAATTAAATAAAACTTTCTTGTCGGGAAGTACAGTTTTTCCATTGCTGCACATACTCTTTGAAATAAAGAAAGCCAATTACAATATTGGATATTGGCGGACAGGTGTTTTTTTAAATAAATAATAAAGGATAATAAAAATAATCTTACGAACCGACACGCTTGTAACAAAGCTAAATATTAAAGCTATTAATACTAAAAAGTTTTGATATATTTAAAGAGGTACAAAAACGTCATTAATAATTGTTTTTGTTTCAGTTACAGAGGTATCAAAGATGGGACGAACACCGATTATGGACACACGAACTTTGGTTAATTTGCAGCCGGATGGAAGGCGTTGCCGTTGCCGGATCTGCGACAAGACACTCATCTTCCTCTCGGGCAATGTGCGTCGTCACTACAAGAATTATCACCCCCAGCACATACCGGATCGGCCGTCGTACAATCCTCCAGCCGAGAATAGGAAGCACTTGAATCGCAGTCGAAACAAAGCGGATCTAACTATAGTAAGTAAACTTCCTCTTTTAATACTCTCGCACAATATTCATGGTTTATTAACGTAAACCAAGCGCAGCTGTGTCATGCTAAACGAAACCAAAGAACGAAAAGAAGTAAATATGTACATATGTATGTACTATGTAGCGTTACTTCGTTAGCTATATTTCAGCTATAAGATATCATATCATGCATAGCAAACGATATCGCAAACGAGAGTTAAGCGAAATTCAGCCGTGTAAAACTATCGAATTAAGATCTGAAAACGATAAGAAAATGAATCACTAGTCGCTCAGTTTGTGGCAGTGAAAGTTTCATTTTCGATAGCTTAAAAACGTATCTTTTGCGAGCCTTTTATGATATCTTTTGTGAGCCGAAAGTAAAATGAAATGGGACGCACAATTTTTTTTGTTTTTTATAATTTTTAATTTAATTTTAATTTTTAATTTTGGTGGTAGATAAATAGATTACAAAATTATATTATTGAATTAAATTTATTTTGTTTTTGCCCCTTCGACACTCTGTCCAAAGTCAGTTCCAGCGAAAATTGTTATACATATTCGTTGACGCAGGTTGCCTGATGCACAAGAAGATGGCTAGGAAAAAATATATAAATAGAATGTGTAGATTGTTGTCTTTTTGGGGTCTTATACTGCTCCTAAACTCAAATTTTGTGCACTATACTATACTATTAAATAAATAATAATTTACTTACCGATTTTTCCTTTTTTTTTTTTTTTTTACTATTTTTACGATTTACCTCCCCGTTTACATCCTTCTGCTGCGGTTTTTAATCACAAAATAACACAAACGAAAAAACGGCGGCGTTGTGCCGGGCCGCAGTTTGACATGTTCGTTCATGTTCTATTACGTGATCCGGCGTTTCTTGCGTATTGTGCCCGTTTTTAAATCCGTTTGTGATAGTTTTGCGGGACTTTGGTCATCGCACGGTTTTCGTCCGGTAAATGCTCTTTTCTAAGTCCGTCTGCGAGCATTTTGCGAGACTTCACTCATCGCTCCCGGATTTTTATCATTTCTAAGTCCGTTTCCGGACATTTTATTGTAGTTCCGTTTTACTATCGCTCTTTGGTCCACTGGGTGTACATGCATTTGTACATTTGTATGCTCTTTAGGAATGAAGTTGAAGTTCTGCAGGAACTATATTGAGTATTCTTGAAATATTATAAAAAGTGATTTCAATACATATGTACATATGTACATACATATGTATACTAAATATGGAATCGGTACATAATAACTATATATGTACATACATAGTCCAGTCAGGGCGGAGCTCACATCTTCTTGAACTACTTTACATACATATGTATGTATGTACATACTAAATTTCGATTCTCAAACATGCGAATAGAATATTCTCTTGAGCTCTGCGTATGGTGAGGTAGATTGAACCAAGGCAGGGGCAACGAAAGTCGGGAAGTGTCATAAAACGAGAGTAAAAACCGACGCAAACCAAGTATAAGCCTCTAAGACAACAACAAGATCTGATTAGTGTTTCGCACACAGTCCCGACAGACCGAAACCGTTTCAAACCAGTTTACTTTATTTGTACATACATGTATGTCGTGCGTCGTCCCATGTCCATGTGTTTCGTCGCTCTCTGAACCGCTCTCAGAGCACGAGCGAAAGGCAAATTAGTTTCGGTTCGGTTCGGTTCTGTTTCTGGTTTACGCTGTTTTCTGCTCTCTTCTCGTATCTGTGCTCGTGTGTGTGTGTGTGGTTTTTGGTTTTGCTCGGCTGAGACTGCTTTATTCATTATTCGAACGCAACGTCGGATAGAACGCAACACGTCGCCCGTTTTTCCCCCGATAAAATGCCAAAAAAGTACTCGAACCCCGTTAATAAATACTTCGTATACAACGAGGACACGCGGAAGAGCACCTGCTTGCAGTGCCTTTTTGACATGGCCGGCAAGCATTCGGAAAACCTTATGCGCCATCTTAAACGGAGGCACCACCACACATACGCGGCCCTCATGGAGATGAGGCGATTGCGCCACAATCGCCAGAACCAGTCGCCGGCCAATTCCGATGACAATGCTGAGGCTGATGAGGCCTCTGCCATGCCGTTGTCGTCCATGTTTCAGTTCTCGTCCGAAGCAAAAAAACTAATGATCAGAATGGTAAGACACCGAACAGAACCTGGATGACTTCTTACACTGACACTATGCAACAAAATTGAACTTTTTCGCTGTGAACCCAACCGACTGTTCTCATAGATATGGGGCTTTACAATTTTTTAATATTTTATTATACCCGATACTCAAAAAGAGCACATATAAAATTTGTGTTTCCGGCCCCATAAAGTATATATGTACATACATACATATGTACATATATCAGCATCAATAGCCGAGTCGATTGAGCCATGTCTGTCCGTCCATCCCTATGAGCGCCTAGTTCAGCGCCTCAGAGACTAAAAGATCTAGAGCAATAAAATTTTACATCCAGACTTCTGGTATTTCACTGTTACAGGTTTATTTAGAAATTTCGTCCCACCCCCTTCCGCCCCACAAAGAGCAAAATTCTGTGGCATCCACAATTTCAAAGATACATACAAGAAAACTGAAAACGCAGAATCGTAGAGGATGACTATATGTTCTAGAGTGTAAATTCGTACCAGACCGTATAATTATTATAGCCAGTATCAAGAAAACAATTTAATTCTTTCTCGCTCTGTCTCTTTCTAACACACAGGTTTCATGGTCGGTTTTGCCAATTGCAAAATATGAGTTCAAGGATCTCAGAATCGATAAGAGCTAGAGCAACCAAATTTGGTATCCACACTCCTGTGATATTTGACCTTGACCGTTTCGTGTCAAAATTTCGCCACACCCCCTTCCGCCCCCTCAAAAGACGAAAATCTGGGGCATCCACAATTCTCAAAAACTATTATGGCTAGAGCAACCAAATTTGGTATCCGCATTCCGTTTAGATCTCACTATATAACGTATATCTCAAAATTTCCCCCCCCACCCCCTTTCGCCCTCACAAAGGACGAAAATCTGTTGCATCCACAATACTGCAGATTCGAGAAAATTAAAAACGCACAAACATAGAGAATGACCATATCTATCCGGTGGCTCAATCTGGATCAGATCAGATCATTTTTATAGCCAAAAGGAACAAATCAATTTGCAGTGGCTACGCAGCGCCCGACGTCACTCTCAGACTGATTTTCCGCCGTTAAATTTAATTTTAAGAGAAATCGCAGCGGACATGTTGCACCGGATAAGGTTTTTTTTTGAGTTCAAAAATATACAGTGGGCCGATAAATTTACATATGTATGTATGCATGTATCGCGAGCAGAGTAGAGATGAGCGACTACGAGTCGTTACAGGACACAAACTGATGGAGCAGATCCTGCGGCTGACGAAGTTCTTCCGACGTGGTGCAACCGTGGCAACATATATGTCGTTTTATCCATGTGTATCGTATTTTGGAAAACTCTACTTTATAATTCCCTCAGGATATCATCAGTTTATTGATCTCTCCGTTTCAAATTCATTGCAGGACCCTGCCACAATAATGACCACCACCATGGAAACGGGCGACGAGGATGAGAAGGCCTCTAGTAGCCGGCTCTCCAGTGACCAGTTCGAGAGCATCTTCATTGGAAAGTCGGAGGTGCCGGATGTAGTGGAAGTGGACTTCTCAGGCGACCAACTGATCGATCACGATAAGATGCGTTACTCACAATCACTGAACCAGTCAGAGCCGCCCATTACAGCAGCCATGACGATGACCAGTACACCCTCTGCATCAGCTTCTGCTCCGAGGACTTCCTCTGTAGCTCTCCTACCGTCCCCGACACTGTCTGGAGACGACGCCTTCTTTCTTCAATATCTGGGTAACAAGTTTGGAAACTATTCCACGCGCACCAAGCACACGGTTCAGTTCCAAATCAATCGAATCTTGTACAGGGCCGATATGGGCTGCTTCGAAGATGCCGACGCGAGCCAATTAAATGAATCCGAAATTGTCTAGAAATAAGCAGAAAGTCCCGTTATAACAAAGTTAATTGTAACCGTACCATTGTTTCATTGTACCATTTATGTATATAATAAATATATGTTTGTTTGTTTGTATGTATGTACATATATTCAGGAAATCCATTTCATATTTTAATTTCGCGTACATTTATGTAATGGCCTGTAGCCCATAAAGTACTCACCACTTTTCAAAATGTACTTTTTGATGCAAAATTTGTTTAGAATCCTTACTGCATCATTATATTGTGGCACATTTACCTTTTATCGCATACGAGAGTCCATATAATTGATCAATAGCCGATTTCGTATAGTTTAGCGGCAAGTTTTCCCAAATTTCAAACTTTCAACTGGGTTTAACTTTCGTGGAGAGTATTTGCAATCCTCTGCAAGCGGCACGGCTAACTTCATCGGGAATTTAGTCTCACATGGCATTTAAATAACAGCGTTCCCATTTCCACTGGTCTTTACACCCGGTACTCAAAAAGTATGTGTGTACTTTCCTTCTCTTTGAGTAGGATAGATCGGGAATAAAGTCAAATTGTCTAAGTCAATTGTCTAATTAATATTTATATAATCAGCTTAGCATTGAACTAGCAGAGAGAAAGAGAGAGAACAATCCCCCTTTAAAGGCCATTTTGCTCGTCAAGTTCTACAGGTGATAGTTTTTTACCATCGCCTGTTCACGCTTAGCTCGAAAATTTCTTGAAAAAAAATCCTGCACCTGGCCATCGGCATCACTACATGTCCCCTCTCTGATAGGAAAGGGGAGGTAGTTCCCTGTCTGGCCAATACATATATGTACTATTTTTGTTTCTAAAAAGAAAGTCCGTAAACCTTCTGCTTCTTTAACGATCAATCAATCTACAATGCACAAATTATGTCATCCGCATCGGTAGGTTAGTTGGAAAAATAAAGCGGTTTACCTTTCAAAATTGTTGAACCTACTTTGTGAAGCAGCACGATACATGTTACATTTCTCTTGGCGATATATTGAAGAGCTTTTGATAAAAAACCTGTTGATACGCCGTAAATATTTCAATTCGGCATATGGCATATGTCAACTGTCTACATTTTGACATCAAAAGTGTATTTTTCGATTGAATCTAGAAGTCCTTACAATTGTGCGTTGGGCAAGATGTCGCATAAAAAGCCCCATCAATTTCCGTGATTCTTCAACTACTCAAATTTTCCCTTGAAGAATCAATTCGGAATTGATCTTTCGCTACGCAGATTGCAGACATATTTTGGTTATTGGTTAAGATAAAGAATGACTTGCTATCTTACCCAAACGTACTTTCGCCAAGTAACAAAATATCCATGACACATGCCACATGCCACCGATCTAAGCCCAAGCAATTCCAAACTTTTTAAACAAAGCTAATAACCCTCTTTGGAAATTTGACGCCCACCCCGCTTGTCCCGCGATCACATTGAGAGACCTTGGCTTGGCTTGGATGTCCGAGAAGAACTAGCACAATTCCGAAGACAGAATATATCCAGAATTGAGTATACACATGTATTCAACAATAGGTAAGTTAAGAGCTTTTATGACCAACTGCGCAATCTTCTATTCGCGATAATATTAAATCAAGGTGCATGCACAAATTTTTTAAGATCAATAAATTTGCAAAACTTTCAAATACAAGAACGAAAATATCAATTTTTATTGACTACAACAGATATTGAATGTATTGTTTAAATGGTTTAAATGATATTACGGTACAGAGATGTACTAGGCTATGGGCTCTGATATTTGCGCTACAAACTTCTCCTCTGTTTTATTATATCTCCTGCAAAGGTAAAAAAGCTTTATGCCAAAACCAATTCAATATGCAGATTCTTAATCCCTCTACTTTCAGAGCTATTAAAGAATGCTATTAAAATCGTTGTTTCGGATTCATGTATGGAAATGTCCATGGAAGGATTCAGCGAGACCAGAAAACTCAAATTCGAATACTTTTGTCCCAATATTGTTTAAGAAATCTGGTGGAACAAAACAAATTCTGTCAATAGACACATCATTTCACTGACTTCTATGTTAAAACTATTAAAATCACCTAAAGTTAAATTTGTCGGTATTTTTCGGTAGTTTATAGTTATATTATAAGTGATAACAGTGAAGGAAAACATGACTATAAAATTACCGAAAAAGTTAACTTTCGCCTTTTGTGTAAAAGTTAAAAAAGTTTAAGTCAAAAAGGTTACATCACAGTTAATGAAATTATATGTCAATTCGTGAAGTTTTCAATAAATTTGGATGATAATATCGGGGAAAAAGTATATGGCAAGCTGTTCTTATTGACTTTTAATATTCTTTAGCATGATGGACATTTTCTTGGACACATATACACATGTACATATATTGTACGACATTGTAAATACATCCAAAAAGTGCCGCAATTAATGTTCCCCTAAGGTATTCCATTTTCCAGCCCGATGAAAAAATCAGGTCAATCCCTCACACGCATCTGCCCTCCCTACGATTGCCCCACATCAATGGCTGGCTCTGCTTCTGGCTCCTCTTGAATTTTCCCTTGGAGCAATCCAGATCATTGCCCCCATTTAAGGGGGGCCTTTACGGCTCATTCGCAGGCAGGCAGACAGGTCGGTCGCCACAAAAGCGGGTCAACTACCCGCACTGTAATCTATACAGGGTCAACATCTTCGGCCGTACAAGCCATCCCGTCCCATCCGCCACCACCCTCTTTCGGAGGATGACGATGAGCAGAAAACGGTAAAACAAATTGCGTGAAGGAAACACACAAATATTTTTGCTTAGCATGGCTCATTTCGCTTGCCTTCTTTTTGCCTTTTTGGAGCGTGGACATTTTTTTCATCTTTCCAAAGCAGATGTTCTCCCTGGCTCTCTCTCTCTCTCTCTTTTTTCAAATTTCGTGTGGGTGTTGCCATAGCCCAGAAATAAAAAAGAGTGCTATCATTTTTCAATCAACACTGCCACATCCTGAGCGTCAGAATTAAGCTGCAGCGTATTAGTTTTTTATTACTAAAACATAGTCAAGTTTTTGAAATAACTTAGTTTAATTCCTTCCTAGGCAAAACTGATCGAAGCGAATTACCAAATTGGGTGTTTGAGTGTTTCAGTGCGCTAAATTTTGAGAAAAAATGGTTCAAAATGTGCTGGATGCCATGGCCGTGACACATTGACCCTAAGGCATCCAAATAAGTTCCGAAAATTTATTAACTACATATGTACATATGTATGTACATATATGTACATTTTTAAACAATTTGTGCAATTGTGGGCAAACGCAGAGCGTCTGATGAGAAGTAAAAACGAGCACGAGAGTTGTGAGCCGCGGCAAGTGCCAAAAAGCTCTTCAAAAAGGCTCGGCGCTGATCCTTGCCCACCGTCTGAGGCTATAGCCTCACTATATCTCACTATCACTATAGTGATCGAATTTGTAGCACTGTAGCACTGTAGCACTCGAAGAGGACATGTTGTGCGTCTTCTCCCTGATTTCCGCTCAGCGCTTGTGTGAGGTAGAAGTCCACCTGGTCGTGCTTCCTGGACGTGCTACGCTCCTCCTTCTGCTTCACCGACCTGCGTGGAGTCTCTCATTTCATTTTTCTCCCGTATAAGCTCCCTGAGCTTCATATGTGTTAGTGTGTGTCCATGTGTGTGTGCGGGATTGAGCCCGCTCATGATGGCATTATACAAGGCGGCAAATTGACTCAACGCGCTCTCTTTTCCCAGCAGCACTGGGTGGTGGATATCACCACTCACTAACCGACCAGGGGTACTTTCTTTACTAACCCTTAACAATGCTTTTCATCATTTCCATTTTTACCCGCAATGATATGGTGATATGGGTCGTCTAGTAGCTAGTGAAATGGGTACCTCTAGTTGGTTATCAATCTGCACTTCATTTCATTTTAATTTTTAAATTTAATTAAATATGTTCTGCTGTTCGCGTTGGTACTGTTTTAAAAATAACGTTTTTTTGCAGCTGAAGGGCCTTCCTAAGCTGGACTTCAGCTGATCCAGCATCTATAAATATATAATACAGATATAATAGGCATACAAAAAAACAAAAAAACAAAAAAGCCTACCAATCAAAACTCCATAAAACTTCTTTAAATTTTTTAGCGCAAACTTACCTTGCAGCCCATCCTCGTTATATGCCAACACATCTTAATTGGCCAAAACATTTTTCAAATTTTTTGAAACGCCGCTCGGTAATAACATTTTCTTTATTGTATCAATCTGTAAAAAGAACACTTTCAAATGGGCAATGAAATTGAAATTGCAAACATATTTACGTATATGTATATCTCTATTTGTGCTGTTTATTTGCATGTCCAGCTCTTGAGGTCCCTGGTCTGTTAAAACAGGGAAATATTTGGCGACTGTTTGCCCCTGTCCTTGCTGCCTTCCTAGACTTTTGAACGTGCCAGCCTGCTCTGCGACTGCTTCAACCAGCACAGGAATTTGTTGAATATATGTACATACATACATGTATGTATTTTGTTGAGCTGAAAACCAATGTACAATTTGGTTCATAGTTCATATTTCAAGTTAATAGAAATCATACTCCGCAAAGTGCTCATTTCAGGTAGAAGGGAAGTCATGTCATCGTTCCCTCAAGGCGCTCCACAGCAGCAGTCACCAAACCAGCACAATTGCAATTTGGTTTTTTCTCTGAAATGTACAATTTTGATCATTTCGGTGTACTTGAATTTTGTAATATATATTTAAAGACTAACCACTTGCGGTGAAAGTGAATGCTACATTTATCATTTCAATGTCATTTTCCTAACTTCGATTTCCTCTCCTATTTAGCGGCCCTCAACTTTTTCTATTTCACTGCACGACACTGTTTCTCCGCTAGCACGATTAGGATTGGCAGCATATGTATTTGTCTTTTAGTCTATACATTTTTAATTAATTGCTTTGGCTTACTGTCTAAATTTGAATAATTATAATCTCTTGGTCAGCCGCACTGATTTGCACAAACGCCAAACGCAAAAGAACATTCCAGCAATGCAATGACCAAAAACAGAAAAGGGAAAGGAGAAGGAGAAGGAGAAGGACAGCATCATTTTTAGCTGCCTGCTCTCTTCATTTCGCTCTCAAGTTTTTTGT